TCCTATGAACAGCAAACTTCTGTATGATCTCAGGAAAAACACAAGAATTGACAGTAGCTGCATTCAAGCTGAAGCCAGTGTTACATGTTCTGGAGGCAAGTTGAGTTTTTGGGACACATTGTGTCTCGAGATGGTGTTGCTCCTAATCTTGTGAAGATTGAACAATTATTTGATTATCATACCACAAATTTTTTGAAGCAGGTTCAACAATTTTTGGGAGTAGTGTTGCTACATTAAAGAGTTTGCTAAAGTGGCCAGAGCACTCCATGATCTCACTCAGAGGAAGGTAGTATTCAAATGGACACCAGAATGCTACCTTTATGGGATATCATAGAAATGACTATTCTTACATCCTTGACACTGATGCAAGCCTAGTAATATCAAATCAAGAGACCAGGTACTCCCCTCAGGCCTCACAACTAGTCCAAAGAAATCTAGTCCAATGATTAAAAAGAACAAAACAAAGGCTATGGAGATTGGTGAGCCAAGTGTAACAACGCGTGATCAAGAGCCTTTGATACAAAGGGTGAAACCAAGTGTGAAAGACTCCGTGAAGGATGAAAGAGGAGTTTCATACAGAGAGCCGGAGCTAAACTAAACTAAAGGTTCTAGTAAGAAGGGTAAAGTTATGTCCCTTATTTTGCAAATCATAAATAAATTAAAGTCTTACCTGTGTTTCATTTCCCATCCTACCCATATCCTCTGAATTCCATTCCATAGGGTCATAGTGTTACTATGCTTTGGCTACTGCCACAAGGTTCTGCCACCCACTGGGAAGTAGCTCTCCCCTTTCAACCACCTAGTTGTAAACAATGAGGAAAATGACTGGCAATAAAGGACAATACTGTACTACATAGGAGAAAACATATAACCTGATTATTTGTACAGTATCTAATAAAAATAAGGACAATTTGAGTTTTTTCTATATTTTTGCATATAAAAATATAATGTGTTTCAAATATTTAAGTGTTTTCAGCATTTTAACAAGGGAAATTCAGGCTGACATTTCTTTATGATAAAGAGTCAATTAAAACCACATGCTTATTTCAAGTTTTTCCTCTCATTACCCAGCAATAGCTGGATGCTTTAATAAATAAATATTACACATTTAATTTCATTTTTTACCAATGATGTACCAATATACAGATATATTGATATAGGTGTAACAGAAAATATCCTCACCCAAAGCAATTCATAGGTATACAAGGCCAACATTTGTTTTCTTTCTGGTTGTCCTTGGCAAAGCCTGTCTTTATCTATCCCATATCTAAACCATGGTAGGCTACATGCCCCTTTCCAAATGGCCTACATAATAAGATGTGCTGAATCGTTTTAATCTATGAGGGGTAGAACTACATGTTAAATTAAAGGCATTTACAAAAATTTGGATTATAATGATATAGGTCACCACTTACCCTTTTCCCTCTGCCTCTCCAGATGTCAAGTAGCAGAGCATTTTTGACATGGATGTACTTTATCATTCTTCTTCCTGTTTGTGATAGAGTTGGCGCTGGTTCCAGCCCTGTACATGTCTTGATTGTCAGTACTCCACTTGAAACTGTAAAATGTTCACATTTATTTAGAAGGCGATGACAGAAAGTGAATATTGTAACTGGATATCGTGATTTGAACAATTGACATTTAAAATGTGATAAACTGTACACATCAGCAATTCAAAAATCATAATGGAACACATAAAAAATGACATTTAATAGTATACAATTGTTGACCTCTCCAGAGGTCAACCGGCAAAATTGTATACCGAGACTGTAAACCGAGAAACTACTGTTGACAGAGACCAAAGGTCGAGGTCAACAGTAGTTTCAAGGTTTACAGTCGAGGTATATGGTTTTGACGGTTGACCGAATGGAGAGGTCTACAATTGTTTTGTTAGTCAGAAGGAATTAATAATACACATATAGACGACAGTCATCAATCATGGCTTCAATTCACAATCTTCAATAGGCAGTAGAAGTGGATACTCATCCTCTACATCAGGCTCATGGTCCTGCTCTTGCTGTATCTCTGCCCCAGGAAAAACAATTGTGTCCAAAATCACAATTGATTGTAATACCAAAGATCTGTTTTACGTGTTATGATTTGTGCCTGTTGTGAAGATATATACCTACCACGGACAGGAGACATTCTACAGGACCGAGTAAGGGCTTATCGACAACAAAGTCAAAATGAAACTGCTTAAATGTTGCCTGTCAATAAACACATGGTGGAAATTAAAATTTTGAATACTACCAGTCAAGATGGGATGTTTGGAAAAAAACGGTTACAAAAACATTTCATAAACTTGTTCAAACATTTCAAGAATCTCATACCATCAAAAAGCCCCCAGAAGCTATGCAAGGGCCTGCAGAAACTGTACTGTAGCCCCCAGAAGCTATACAGGGGCCCCCAGTGGCTCCCAGAAGCTATACTATGGCCCCCAGAAGCTATGCAAGGGCCCGCAGAAACTATACGGTAGCCCCCATAAGCTATACAATGGCCTCCAGAAGCTATACAGTGTCCCCCAATGGGCCACCATATAGCTTTGGGGGCCACCGTATAGCTTCTAGGGGCTACTGGGGGCCCTGTATAGCTTCTGGGAGCCATTGGGGGCCATCATATAGATTCTTGGGGCCATCGTGTAGCTTCTGGGGGCTGCTGTATAGCTTCTGGGGGCCATCGTATAGCTTCTTGCGGCCACTGGGGTTCCCTGTATAGCTTCTGGGTGCCACCATATAGCTCCTGGGGGCCACTAATTAGCTTCTGGGGGCCATCATATAGCTTCTGAGGGCCACTGGGGGCCACCATATAGCTTCTGGAGACCACAGTATAGTTTCTGTGGGCTCTTGTATAGCTTCTGGGGGCCATCGTATACCTTCTGGGGCGCACTTTGGGCCCCTGTATAGATTCTTGGGGCCACTGGGGGCCATCATATAGCTTCTGGGGGCTTCTGGAACATAATAATTAATGTATTTTGCCAGGTTTCACCAAAATCTTCAAATATGGGGGCTGTCAGGAGGGGGTTAAATTAAGTTATAATTTTTTTAAACAAATTCATGTGAGTATTTTTCTCTAAAGCAAAGGGAGAATAACTTTCTTTTAACTCATTAAGAACGTGAAATGTAAAAACCTCATTATCAAGTGATGTTACCATAGCATCTGAAATGTTAGAAATATTACATAAACCATATGATGAATCATCTTCACTTCTAATCAGGCTTTATACTTCAGATGCTTTAAGAATCAAGAATATGAAGAATATGATGAAAATTAGACTATATGTATACTATTTATATGAATCATTGAAAGTGCATGGTAAATTATAAAATTGGATCTTTAATATACAGGGTTGAGATAATCGTTTTGACCCCTGTGAATGATAGTCAAAATACATGTAACCTTTCCACATACTTATTAGTTCAGTTCAATACATGCACATTTTTACTCAATAAGATTGAAACAACTATGGTTGTTACTTTTTTTGTTAATTTAATATTCTTTTTATAATTGTCAAACAATGACGTTCACAGTAGCTGCCTCCAAAGCTGGATAATTTTGTTAATTCTGATCCAATTTTGAAGATTTGTTGTCTCTTTAATGTTGCTTATATCTTCCACTCATCAAATAAGGGACAAAACTGTGCACACATTCTGTCATAAGGCCTCAGTTCTAATAGATATGTTGCTATACTAGGATATTCTGAACCAAAAATGGATTGATGACGTCACAATTAATGCAAATTAGCTAATTTGCATAACTGAATATTGTAACCATATAGTAAATTTAATAAGGTTTAATCAGATACCAATATCATCTCTATAGACCAAATAATGGCGAAGCTACATTGATTCAAGACTCCAAGGTAAGACGTAATGTATATTATTGTCAAATAATGACATTCACGATAGCTGCCTCGAAAGTTACATAACTTTCGTAATACTGATTCAATTTTGAATCTGTTTTCACTTTTATGTTGCTTATACCTTCTACTAATAGAAAAAAGGACAAAACCTTTCAGAAATTTTGCCATATGGCCTCAGTTCTAATAGATACGTTGCTATAGTTGGAAATTCTGAACCAAAAATAGATTGATGACGTCATAATTTATGCAAATTAGATAATTTGCATAATTGAATATCGGCAATTTATTGGAAATTTAACGAGGTTCAATTTGGTACCAATATCATTTCTATAGACCAAATAATGACAGAGCTACAAATGATTTAAGATACCAAGGTAAGATGTCTAAAGATGCGTAACCATGGTAACTGAATGCCGCCATAAAAGTACTATGGGACATTAGTTGGCAATGTTAACAAATGAATTCATTAAATAGACACCCTAGGGATTACAAAAATGTATGTAACTTATTCACACCTTATGGGTGCATGGGAACCCCTTGTTCCTACTATACTATAATAATACTAGTCAATAAAATATTATTGCATTATATGATACATACAATTTTATAATTACAATATTTCATGAATTATACATAACTTAAGTAATATAACAATATGTAAATAATATTCGATATTAACAAATTGACAAAGTCTACATATAAAATACACATATATACTGCATATATAATAAATGTAAAAATTCTATGTGCATAATTGCAAAATTAAATTGAAGAAAGAATGATTTCTTTCCTTTCTAACAAGTTATGGAATGGCATATACCGATAGTGGCATATGGCTGTCCCAAAAATATATTTCAAATGTATGGTCATCACAGGAGAGGATGTATTACAATAACCAACTCATTTGATTACAATTATTGAAATTCTCAATTCACAGTTGGGTAACTTAAGTCCTTTTATAAATTATTATATCCAAGATAACGCAGGACCCTCACCAGACTTTTAGACTGTGGCGCAGCATCGCACTCTATTTAGCTCCCAACACAACCTATTGGCAAATCATAATTGTTTCAAGTCTAAACTTGACTGAATACACAATAAAAGCATGTAAAAAGATAAAATATAATATAACATAAATATGATTTATAACAATTGAATGGTTATGCTGAAGATGTTTGCACCACACCCTAAACATTTACTGGTGAGAGCCCTGTGGCGGATTAGGTTACATTCTTTGAACGTTTGCATATAGCAACTTTCAAATTACAGTATGTAGATATTAATATTGAGTTTAGCATCATTGGATACTAAAACATTGAATCAAAATACATAATATAATCAGTATAAAAATTCCACCCTGAAACTGATTAATGTATATACCATTTGTAAAAATGCATTGTCATGTATATATGAAGTGTTTCATAAAAATTTACTGCACATTCGCTTTTCTTACAAGTCAATCAAAATTAACAACAGACCTTTTAAATCTGGGTCAATTTCTAAATAAAGCTTTGTAATGTTAAAATAATACTTCTGTCATGTCCTATTTCCAGGATCCTACAATTTTGATGTATGCTTCCCCTGTAGCATTGGCTTGATGTACTTTTCAAATGCAGGTAGTACCTAAAATAAAAGGTTAGTTATCTCAGTGATACAAGCATGATAGACTTCAATTTTTTCTATATACCACCTATATACTATATGAGGCAACAAAGAGTTATAAAACTGCAAAAAAATCAATATTACAGTTAGACAAAAAATTGTTGCAATACTTCTGTGAATTGTATGAACACAAATTCCTCTTCGATGTATCTCACAAATGATAATCTTTATAGTGTACTTTTCCATATAACCTCTCATTTAGACATAGTTATTGGTAGGGAATCATAATGATACTTGGCATTACTTCATATTACTATTCAACCAACTTATATTTTATTTTATTGTAACTCACTTGTTTTTGATTCATGGGATCTGACTTGGCAGAGTCATAAAGATGCTGATAAGCATTGCCGTCATAGCAACCAAGTGTTGAATTCAGGAGGTTGTCAGGAATGTCAAATGCATCCACTAAAGCTACTGCATTTTTTCTATGTAAAGAAATAACAAAGATAATTTCATATCTTCGACATGTGTAAATTAAATACACTGCTTCTTTTTTAGACTTAGGTCCGTAAATTTGTATGAGCCAAAAATTTATCTGGTTAATTATATCTTTTAAGATAAATTTTGGATTATTGATCTAGATAAATATTTGGTTAATTGGTATGATCCTAGAATCCATCCCAAGATTTATCCAATTTACCCAAGATTTATCCAAATTACATTGATCTCGGATAAATCTTTATAAGTGAGATCAGGCTAAAAATTATCCTAATAGGATAAATTCCAAGATGAATCCCACACATCATTATTACCATGACAAAATTTATCCGGATTAATTCTCGGATTGTACGTATTCATGGCCCTTGAACTTTTTTCTATCGATTCAAGAGAGTTGTTTATATGGTTCTATCATGTTTGCTTTTTTATATCATTAAATATATCATGATGAGGATTTTAAAATAAGTTCTTTTGAATTCCATAATAATGTTTTCCCTGGAAAAAACAGGGAATAAAATCCTGTATCAGATACTGTATCAGCCAAAATCCTTATCAGATCGAGTATCAGCCAAAATTCCATATCAGAACTATTTCTTATATTTCAACTTGTTAATAAATGTTGAAAATGTATGATAAATCAAACTGTATCATTTTATGTCACAATCATTGGGTGATGACAAATCAAACTTGAAAATGAGTGAAAGACAAATCTCAGTTTGAAGAACAGTCTACTTAATTTTTTTATGAAAATAGAAACAACACCCAAATTAAATTATGAATATTCAAAAGAGGACATTTAAATCTACAATATATCAAAATATCAAAATTGTCCGAAGCAGGCATAAAAATGTTTGAGTGTTTATACCTTATTTTGGCCATCATTTCCTGTGCCTCCTGTTGTATAATATGAAGCTCAGTGATGTTAATACAGCCAGTCTACAAATGTAAATAAAACTTTGCAGTAAAGGAAAGATGATGAAGGGAATTCAGATACTAGACTTACCATTCCACTTGTTAAAATCAATCCTGTGGCTAGCATATACTCCAAGTATATAGTATCTATTTATTTGTCAACATCTTAAAACACGAAGTGTTTTTGAAACGTCAATAAACAATAACACAAATGTGTACAATATGTCCCCACCTTAAAATTTACCAAGAATGCCAAAAAATTAGTCAGTTCTAGATTTTCATACTAAGAACCACCCCTGAAAATTTGAAATTGATCCGTCACACAGTTAAACAGAAAACATGTAAACAAGACTTTACAGACAAGATTTGAGGACAGAAAATCCAAAATGGCTGCCTTGACATTTATCCAGAATGACAAAAGCTTATCTGTTCTAGATTTTCATACTAAGAATCATCCCTGAAAATCTGAAATTGATCTACCAAACAGTTCACCTGGAAATGTGTAGACAAGACTTTACAGACGAGATTTTAGGACAGAAAATCCAAAATGGCTGCCTTGACATTTACCCAGAATGCCCAAAACTTATAATCAGTTCTAGATTTTCATACTAAGAATCATCCCTGAAAATTTGAAATTGATCTACCAAACGGTTCACCTAAAAACGCGTAGACAAGACTTTACGGGAAAGATTTTAAGATGGAAAATACAAAATGGCTGCCTTGACATTTATCCAGAATGCCAAAAAACTAATCAGATCTAGATTTTCATACTGAGAATCATCCCTGAAAATTTAAAATTGATCTACCAAACGGTTCACCTGAAAATGCGTAGACAAGACTTTACAGACAAGATTTTAGGACAAAAAATCCAAAATGGCTGCCTTGACATTTACCCAGAATGCCCAAAAACTAATCAGATCTAGATTCTCATACTAAGAATCATCCCTGAAAATTTGAAATTGATCTCCCAAACGGTTCACCTGAAAATGCGTAGATAAGACTTTACAGACAAGATTTTAGGATGGAAAAATCCAAAATGGCCGACAATAAAAAAGTGATTATGAGTTTTTGCTGAAATCTTTTTACAAAATTATCACATATAACTACTGTTAACAATAACATAGGCTTTTACAACAAAGTACACCTGAAATTATCTATAAAGCTACTAAAAAGTTATAGTATGAAAACTGAAAAACACCATTCAATATGATACAAAGTATTATCGTGCGCTTACTTTTCTTAAAACATTCAAAATGGCTGACATGACTGAGCTAACAGGTCCAAAACCTAATCAGATCTAGAATGAAGTGAGCTGAACAAGTTTTAAAAGCAACTGTGAAGCCGTTTTTCTTAAAGTTTGCAGACAAGGATTTTAGCATTTGACTTCAAAATGGCCGACATGAAGTAGGTATCGAGTTAATTTTTTTCATCCACATCTGTATGCACTCATAAGTTATCCCTGAAAATTTGAAGGTGATATCTGTAGCGGTTTTGGAGAAAACTGCCGAACGTACGGACGGACAAACAGACGGACAGACAGACAGACGGACAGACGGACAGACGGATGCGGCTAGGCCGACAATATGGCCCCACACTATGTGGTGGGGACATAATAAAAAGGTTGCGTCAAACAGTAACAGTTACAGATATAACTAGACTTTGGAAATTGAACGAAGTTCAATTTCAGACTCCAGATCTAGACTTTTTTAAGCCCAGTCATCTAAAATAAGCCGAGTCATCCAGAATAAGCTGAGTCATCCAGAATAAGATGGATGGATAAAATAAGAAGGTAGGATAGGATAGAATGGGAAGGAACGATAGGATAGAATAAGAAAGAAGGATAGGATAGAACAGAATAGGAAGAAAGGATATGATAGGAGAGGATAGGAAGGAAAGGATACGAAGGAAGGATAGATAGGAAGGATAGGATAGGATCAGATAGGAAGGATGGATGAATTTTTCAATTTTCTCTTCTCTACTCTTGACTTTCTATCAGGATACCATCAGATCGATTTTCCTAAATTTCAAAACGCCATAACTACCGAACCGGAAGTCGGATCTAAATCTGATTTAAAGATTCGGATTCCTGACAAAATTCTACCCCTAATTCATAACTCATACGTTAAATTTGACGAATTTTTATTTTGACCTACTTTTTGGACACGCCATAACTTCTGAACCGGAAGTCGGATCGAAATTTGGTTTACAGATTCGGATTTCTGAGAAAATTCTACCCTTAATTCATAACTCAAACGTAAAATTTGGAGACCTTTTTATTTTGACCTACTTTTCGGACACCATATCTCAAAAGTGGGTCAAAATACTCTCTGACGGCAAAAGGCTAACGCTATTAGCATATTCTTGGCTACATGTATACACAATTTCGAAGAATATAATTAAAGTGTAGTGTCAGAATCGCAAAAATAAGAAAAAACTTTGCGTTTGACCTAGATTTTGACCTAGGCATTTTGGTGTCCAAATTTTGAAGCTATGTGGCTTTTGAGGTCCCCTTCTTTGAAAGGCTTTGATTATATGAAGCTGAACTCAGTCTATATTTCGTATTTTTCACTTCAAAAAAATCTTTTTTCCCATTGACTTAACATGGGCACCAAATTTAGCGATTTTTGAGCTTTCAAAACGCCATAACTTCCGAACCGGAAGTCTGATTCGAATTTGGTTTTCAGATTCGGAATCCTGAGAAAATTTCCTATAAGACTGATATCCTAGACATTTGATTCGGAGAACTCGTTTTCGGACACTGATATCTCGAAATCGGTTTGAGATATCAAAAAACTAAATCGACCCTAGCTTTCCTACTTTTTTATAAGGAACACAATGAAAAAAAACTGGATCAAAAATATTAAAGGACGACCAAGAAATTCGAAAAAAGTGACAAAGTACTGGATTTGACCTAGTTCTTGACCTTTGACCTAGATAAAAATTTGACCCAATTTCCCACCAACTAGATACTGAACCTAAATAAACTGTATTATGATCTTTACTGGATACCTTATAGTTATTGAAAAAACTCTTAAAGAAAAATAATAATAATAACTAGACTTTGGAAATTGAACCAAGTTCAATTTCAGACTCCAGATTTAGACCTTTTTTAGCCGAGTCATCCAGAATAAGCCGAGTCATCCAGAATAAGCTGAGTCATCCAGAAAAAGATGGATGGATAAAATAGGAAGGTAGGATAGGATAGAATAGGAAGGAACGATAGGATAGAATAAGAAAGAATGATAGGATAGAACAGAATAAGAAGAAATGATATGATAGGAGAGGATAGGAAGGAAAAGATACGAAGGAAGGATAGATAGGAAGGTTAGGATAGGAGAGGATAAGAGCAGATAGGAAGGATGGATGAATTTTTCAATATTTTCTTCTCTACTCTTGACTTTCTATCAGGATACCATCAGATCGATTTTCCGAAATTTCAAAATGCCATAACTTTCTAAACGGAAGTCAGATCGAAATTTGATTTAAAGATTCGGATTCCTGACAAAATTCTACCCCTAATTCATAACTCATACGTTAAATTTGGCGAATTTTTATTTTGACCTACTTTTCGGACACGCCATAACTTCGGAACCAGAAGTCGGATCGAAATTTGGTTTGCAGATTCGGATTTCTGAGAAAATTCTATTCTTAATTCATAACTCAAACGTTAAATTTGGAGAACTTTTTATTTCGACCTACTTTTCGGACACCATATCTCAAAAGTGGGTCAAAATACTTTCTGACGGCAAAAGGCTAACGCTATTAGCACACTCTTGGCTACATGTATACACAATTTCGAGGAATATAATTAAAGTGTAGTGTCAGAATCGCAAAAATAAGAAAAACCTTTGGATTTGACCTAGATTTTGACCTAGGCATTTTGGTGTCAAAATTTTGAAGCTAGATGGCTTTTGAGGTCCCCTTCTTTTAAAGGCTTTCATTAAATTAAGCTGAACTCAGTCCATATTTCCTATTTCTCACTTCAAAAAAATCTTTTTTCCCATTGACTTAACATGGGCACCAAATTTAGCGATTTTTGAGTTTTTAAAACGCCATAACTTCAGAACCGGAAGTCGGATCGAAATTTGGTTTGCAGATTCGGATTCCTGACAAAATTCTACACCTAATTCATAACTCATACATTGAATTCGGAGCACGTTTTGGTGTGACCTACTTTTCGGACGCTATATCTCAAAATCGGTAAGAGTAATCAAAATTCTGATGTCATATCTTTGATTCGCCCTTCTCTGAGCTACATGATGAAAAAAAGATGAAGAAGTTTCGAAGAATATTGATGAAGATATGATAAAGAATGTTAAAAATGTAAGATTTGACCTAGTTCTTGACCTTTGACCTAGATAAAAAATTGACCCAATTTCCGAGAAACTAGATACTGGACCTAAATTGAGCATATACAGGACTTGACTCAATGTCTTCTAGATACTGAGAAAACGTGTAAAGAAAAATAATAATAATAATAAAGAAGAAGAATACTGACGAAAACAATAGACTCCAGATTGACATCTGGAGTCTAATAATAATAATAAGAAGAAGAAGAATACTGGCAAAAACAATAGACTCCAGATTGACATCTGGAGTCTAAAAATTAAAAATCTTAAAACAGTATGAAAATAAGACACGTTTCAATGTGAAAATCAAGCATTTCTTCTATAATTTATATACACTTCTATAATTGATAAACTGTGAACTGCATTCAGTGCTCACCTCTAAGAAATTTCCAGACTGTTCTGTTATGCCATGTAAGGCATAAAACACACAGAGTTGATGAATGACTTCTAGAGCATCTCCTGGCAGGTCAACTGCTTGTGTACTCAAGCCTTCAATGTTCATACCTAACACATAGGTTTGACAATATGCCTACAAACAAATGTGTACAGAAGCTGTAGCCATGTTGGATTACACTTCATAAAATCTCAAAGATTGCAATTTATAAGAATTATGACAAGAGGTGGGCCAATAATGCTAATAACCTCAGTCACCCACAATTCACAAGTTGTTCTATAATCAATTATGCAATTAAAAACAATTAACCTATAAAAACAAAAATTGTGACAATTTAACTTCTTCATGTGTTCTCATTTTTGCTGCCTCATGGAATGTACTAAAAACTCTTCAACCCTTCGACCTGCACATTTGACATATGGCCTACGTCTTACTGGGTGTCAAGAAGGTGGGTTTTAGTACATTCCCTGCATACCATGGGTGTAGCGCTATTTTTCTAGGAAGTACGCCACCACCACGGGAACAAGAATTAAGTGAATCAAAAATCGAGCATTCAGTGGGGTCTGGGAGTCTCCCCCAGGAAAATTTTGAAATTTGGTTGTATTTGGAGTGAATTTGCAACCATCTGGTACGCCTATGCATACCCAGCGTACCGGGCGCTACGCCCATGCATACATGTAATTGGCAAACTGGAGACTTCTCTCATTTCATCTCATTTGCTTATATAGCCTTACCTTGGCTGCATTGACTAGTTGTACAGAGGTATTGTTCCATGCTTCATACTTAGGTTGCCCCGAGACATGCAACTTGTTTAAGTGATCCCCTGCCTTTTGAGTTAGTCTATAAACATAAACATACTAGTATCTTGTTTAAGGAAAACAAAACGAAATGTTGAGATTTTGTTTTTAACATATTACATTGTTTAAGGAAGATTTCCATTATAGGATTAAACTACAAAGCAAGTGTCAATTTTCTGCAAAAGTTAATAATGATTGGATATCCCTTTTCACTTCCTTAAAGCATGTGAACATTACATAAAAATCAAATTAAATTCCAGTGAGTTTTAGTTAATGTACATTTACCCTGTCCCAAATGTTGTAATAAAGTGATTTACTGATATCTGAACTCGGCAAAACATGAAGTTTAATTCATAAAATAGTTGATACTTGATCTTAATATTTACATGTAGCTACATGTAAGAATACTCAATGTCTGAATTGCCAGTCAAAGATATAATACTTAAACATTCAATGCTTTACCTGACTGTCATGTTTTGGTATAATTTCAGCAGTTTCTTTACATTTGAGTAGTCTTCCCTGGTTACTAATCCACTAGTATATGGAGTCTTTATTTTCTCATTCATGTATGATAGTGACCCCTTGACAGCTTCACCTGTTGCTGCTACCTTGAGACATTTCATCAGATACCTAGAATTAAAATAAACAACAAATGTCATTAACAATCTTTTACCTAACAATAAAACTTCACATTATTAACTTTTAAAATTGCTCCCAGGTAAAAAGGATCACACTATGTGCAGAAGAAGTGATTGACTTCCATAAGGTAACTAACTACTTATTCAAAAGCATTATGCACATCAAGCCATACATCATCCAATCAATTTGCAGGATATGATGATGCGCAAAAACAAGAGCCATGCATGATGTGCAACCAAAATTTGAAGTATTGTGAAAATGGGAGTTATCTTATTTCAGTTGAACATCAATAATTCTCAACTATGTCAACACTTTTTCAGTTACACTATCCAAACATTTCAAGAATATTCAGACAACAGCAAACATTCAGAGATAAATTTTAATGACAAATATTCCAGTTTATAAAATTGGTCATCAAAGGTGACAGTGGCATCCCTCAGATTTGGGAAATCTTGTCCTCTACATTAAGCAAGAGGTTTCTTCTGACAGAAACCTTAAAACAATATATAAAGTCAGTTTGAAAAATTACAAAACGTGATATAAATTATAAATGAGCTCACCTTGCTACTTGTAAATAAAGCACTGTATTTTCACCCTCTACTGTGGGAAGGGCTAAAGTCTGAATGTATGTATTAGTGATCCCGTTACTCAAGAGATAGCCATTTCCTCCACAAGCTCTACGTAATGTCTCCAGTTGGGCTGTGGCAATGTCAGACATGTATGCCTTCAGTCCAGATGTCACACAGTGTATCTGCATGTATAAGCAAATACATTTTAAAATACAATATGTTTTTTGGAAAAGGGGATAAAAGTTACAAGACTGTTATCACAGATCTTAGATTTTATGAACTTTTTATGAACTTTGAATATTGGAATGCATTATATGAAGATCTTTTTAATACTGAGGAATATATTTTTTTACAAATATACACTAGTTGCACACCCGAAAATGAAATGCATTCCCTATTCTAAAACTTGTTTAACCAGTACTAGTGCATCATACACCTGGAATCTCACCTCAGGTAATCCAGAAAAATCATTCTGTTGTATCTGCTGGAATGTTTCAATATAGTACCACTTGAGGTGCTCTTTGCAGAAGTGAAAGGCATACGCTGTTGCAATACTGGGGATCACCTTCAACTGTTGTGTCTGGTAGTCAAGAATCTTCACTTCAGGAGCTCTAAAATAAAGGTTCTAAAAAACTCAGAAATTAAATAGTTGACGTTTTTGAATGATGTTTCAGGGATGAAGATTAGACTGAGCAATCTTGGAATTCTCTCCATCATGGCTTAGAGATCCTGGATTCAAGTTACACAAATTCCCTTTCAACTCAAATTTCTTGAAAATGTTCAAGTAAGAAAAGCATGTTACTTATAAACTCAAAAAATAAATAAGAAAGTACACCGTCAGATGCAACATTTGAAAAGCAAAATAACACAAAGCTGTTATTTAAAACATAAACAGGAAAACCTGCTAAGTGGAACAACTTTGGTACCTCTAAAAGTGTTCCACTTGGGACTTAAAGAGGTTAATTTAACACTTAGTAAGTTGGTCTTGGAACTCCGAAAGTGTTTCACTTTTGAGATAGTCCCCTTTACAGGTTTGACCATTTAAACTAGATAAAATCTGCATCATACCCTGGTTTTATTTCACCTTGTCTCCTAACTGCACTGTATCTTGTTACAATAGTTGCCCCTACAGCCAGGGAGAAGTAGCAACTATGTGCGATACCCACTCTCACAAGCATCATAGTGGAGTAGTTTGCCTTAGCTGCCCCACTCTTGGTAAATTTGCCATCTTTTGATACCTAAAGCATTTGAGTACTATATAAGCACATGGGCTCATACCAATTTCAAAAAATAAATTTCCAAAGCCATTTAAATAAGTGTCAAGACAGAAGCAAGGTTCAAAATCCCAAGTAAGTAAAATATATAGCTCTAGAAATGATATAACAATTATTTGTGCACCAGAACCACAAAAAATTAAGAGTTAGTAAGCTTATTGGTTAGATAGTTAGTAAGCTTTCGTTCTTTCGTCAGGTAGTGAATGAGTGAGAGCGAGCGAGCAAGCGAGTGAGTTATGTATGCACAAGTATGTAATAAAAGTGTATGAATGTTGTATATAGGGAGTCTACCTGAGCATATTTCATCAGCATTTGGTCTCTAGGAATGCGAACATTATTCAAAACAAGAAATCCATTATCTGTTGTTGCCAGTGCCATCTTAGGCCCAATTCCTCCAACTTCAACTCCTGAATAAAAATATAAGATAATGCTATTGCCTTGCAAGGGTTCTTGTTGGTATATCATTCAAAATATTGTTCTCATATGTAACATATGTCCAAAATACTGTTTATAACTGTTGAAACTTCACTTTGTCATTATAATCTCTATTCATAATATTTTACAGTAGTAGCAGGGGCGTAGGAAGGTGTAAATTCAACACTACGCCAAAAAATCCCGCCAAAACTATGAAACAATTGTGTCAAATCTTCTATATCAAAACGCCTATTTTATGCTCGTTAAACGTCATTTTATGGCAATAGAATGCAATGTTTTCATAACCTAAATGTGAACGGAAATGTATGCATTTGTATGGGCGATTGGTCATACGTATAGGTTGCGTTTCGATTTTATATGCAAACTTAAAATCCTTGATGCCCCTTTTAATGTGCTTAAAATGTTCGAATGATTTTCATCATTTAAAATCACCATGGAAAATCACAAATCATTCTCACTTTTCTTATGTCTCGAACAATGAGAGATTTTTTATCATTTACGAATAATTAAATTGAGATATATAGTATTGTCTGATTCCTTCGTGTACCGTGCAATACGACACGTACAGATTAAAGAATCTAGCTTGATCAATTGATTTAAAGAAACGCATTCGTGATCAATGAAACAATGAACCCTAATGTCTGCAACCTTTTTTATAACACTAATTTGCAAGATCAAATAAACTGCCCACCACAAAGGTCAAATCGAGGTCAACATGACTTAGGGGGTTGCCAAAAATGTTATATTTCCTAATATAAAACAATAATCTATTATCTTTCAAATGAAATAAAAATTTAGGTAATAGCTTTTCTAGAACTGAAATCGATGGAACGCGTATTTGAATAATCAACATTTTCAAGTTGTTTTTGTCTTTAACATTCATATTTCAAGAAGTACTACCAATAACAATTGGTGATTTAGTAAGAAAATAGATAATTGCTGACTTAACTATAATTTCTGTCTATGATTTTGCCTATAAATCGATATAGTGAAATTGAAAAATTGGGGGTAGGGGAGAATAAAAAAATATACATCTCATTCAAAGAGGTTCATCATTATAATTAAACGATACCACTGTCAGTTTAGATAGGCATTACAGAACATGCGCAAAAAAATGCAAAGGTATTCATCAAGTAGCTTTTGAAAAAAAACTGTTTTTTCTCAAATTTGTGAAGAGAACGCGAATCACGAATATTTGGCGAAATTGTATTTTAGTTTTTAAATCCATAAGATAGTCAATAGTGGCTTGAATATCATGAAATAAAGCATGTTACTTTGCATTTTCTACTGTATTAGAACTATAGAAACAAGGTAACTTTCAATATTTTATTTTTCAAAAAGTGTCATTTATCTGTGGCCCAGATTAGAAAAATAACAGAGGCACAAAAACCATGCAAAAGAGTACTATTGAAAAAAACGAGCATATCATATGGTATCCACAAAACATTTCTTTAGGCTAGTGTACTCGAGATTACTTTTGCACAATACAATGAGAAAATATGAATAAAGAACATAGGAAAATTATTAAGCCTTTTTATTCTCACTTTTCAACACTACGCACTGGCGTTTTGGCGTACATTGTTCCTACGCCACTGAGTAGTATATTTCACTGGTACAGCACTCTTAGGAATTAAGTTGCAAAATGTCACCACCTGCCATTTGTTGCTTTTGTTACAGACACTGAACTCTGAATGTCAACCGCTGGACACAGTCACAAAAAAAGTTAGAGACCATGACAATATGTCACCACTTGTGGTGGTGACAGAACTAGATCTGTTTCGGTAAAAAATGTCAGAACCCTGATCATGCTGATGACACCATTTTTCTTTCCCTTATTTCATAAGCTGTGAACAGAATTTCCATGACACTTTTATTACAAATGTGTAGATTTTCTTAAACATATGATGCTGACACACGATTGTGATAAAATGTAATGGAGATTTTGCCTTAAACTCCTGAAACAAGGAAAAAAGAAAAATCGTACCTTCAAGGTTCCACTAATGGATCCACTTCAGTAACTAGTTGATGTTAATGGTTATCTACCTGGTAAAGGTTTCCACGTGTTCAGATCCCTGAGCTGCACTATGAATGGCTGCATTCCACAATTTTGGTCATCTATGTACAGAGTAGCAAGCAAAACAGCATGGCTACTAGAATGCCCCACTGAAATACAAAATATGAAGTTATTCGGATGGGTCAATTACATCATAAGTCTCTTGTTTTTCACATGCTATATTACACTTTAGTCATCTATGTACAGGGTGGCAAGCAAAACAGCATGGCTACTAGAATGCCCCACTGAAATACAAAATATGAAGTTATTCGGATGGATCAATTACATGATAAGTCTCTTGCTTTTCACATGCTATATTACACTTTAGTCATCTATGTACAGGGTGGCAAGCAAAACAGCATGGCTACTAGAATGCCCCACTGAAATACAAAATATGAAGTTAATCGGATGGGTCAATTACATCATAAGTCTCTTGTTTTTCTCATGCTATATCGCTATATAACTTTCCAATGATACGTTAAGTGTGGTTACCTATATCAGATCACAATGAATGAATTCACATAATACATCCATTTGTGAGAAAACATTTAGAACATGTATACTCTAAACAAACTTACATGATCCAGGCCACCACTTCATTGAGGAATGTTTGGGGGTTGATATGACAAATTCTTCAGTTGATTTGTCATATCTTGCTTCCATTTCCAATCCTCGTAAAAATGTCCCTGAAATATTTGAAAACCTATATCCATTTTTCTCTCCTCTGTTGTGATGACTACAGGGGAGTGAGTTTGCTTAAACTAATGGATAATGTGTAAAATGTCATTTTTGCATCTTTGGACACACCTCAGTCATGGTTAACATGCATTATATGTGAACATTCCTTAGCACTCTGTTTGTTTACATTACTACAGAATATAACTGGTCATTTCAGTAAGTATGGTAACCTTATCCTATGAAGGTTATGTTTCACAGCAAGTTTGGAGGGTGATACTATATACTTTTTACTTTCTACAGACATCAAATAGATACTCATCAGAGGATTGAAGAATTAAAAAGTCACAGCAACTTAACCTCATTTGTTTAAAGTGCTCCAAGATGAAGAATTTAGGAAAGTTGTCAACTATTGTTGCATGTTGGAACACTGGGTATTTTAGTCATATTCAACGTTTTCATGACCAAAATACCCAGTGTTCCAACATGCAACAATAGTTGACAACTTTCCTAAATATTTTAGCTTGAAGCACTATAAACAAATGAGGTTAAGTTGCTGTGACTTTTTATTAATTCAATGTTTGAAAAGATTATTTTAGTGCAAATAAGCACTTGGAATAAACTTGATGTGATACAATTTTTGAGTTTTATTTCTAAACAAATGGAAAATATCTAGTATAATTACCATGGCCAAGTTCAGTTTGCGCATAGGTACCAAGTATTTTGTGATCAATGGCTAGAGGGAGCCACTTGTCATGTTGTTCTTTATTACCAAGTCGCTCGATTGCAGGTATAAACATGACTTTGTGAACAAACATGGCAATATCCGAGAAGCACCACCTAAAACCAAAACTCTTTTTGTTACTTTTTCACATATTTAAGTTCTGTATTTTAACCAAAAACTAGAGGCTGTGAAATTAATCAAAACAAAATCATGATTTGATTTTATAAATATTTAACTCCGAATGGAACTGATTTGGGATAACAGATGTAAGAAGAACACAAGAGCCATATTGAACTTGACTCTGTTTTTTTTTATTATATCTTGGTTACCGCCATATTTGGCGAGCAATACATCAATGGTATATTCCGTATTTTACACTCGAAGACAGGGCCAGAAACCCCTCCTTGGAGGAGCCCTGTGTTCTTTTATGTGCACAGGTACACAGACATACAGGTACACACCACAGCCTTTAATACGAGTCATGAACCACTCAGTCAAACACCCAGAATTACACTGCTATACTTACATGATTGCATTATTTTCATCCATTATATCCCAGTCGTGTTCAGCTTTTAGCTGTTCAATCCTCAACCCACGTGCAATGGCAGCCTCATAGCGTTCCTCATGGGACATAAATATAATGTTTCTCCGATTTATCTGTGGATCATCTCCAATTTGTTTCTCTGTTTGTAAAAAGTAGAAACCTTCAGCTGACATTAGCAATGGACATTACTGTACATCAGTTCAAACATATATTTGAGTTTCAAATGTTTAAAATATAATGTATTCGGTGTTTACAGTAGGGTCAGTCAATTTAGTGAGTCCCAGACACTATATTATTTTAAAGTCTGTCCCACACATAAAAATTGTGTCCCCCCAAAAATTGAAAGGTTAAAAGTACACTTTCACTTTCTTTATATTCATTATAACATGCAAATGTATCACTCTTCAAAATTTGAGTAACCATAGAGATAAGATCGATTAACATTAAATTTAAATAATCAATTAATCAAAAAAACTAGTTTCACAAATATCTACGTCCCAGGGGAAGTAGTCAAACATTCTTTCCAACCCAGCATCAAAATTTTGCTTAATAACTACATTAATGAACACCCAGATAGTACTTACGTCTGATACGCCTCTGGTTGGTCGCCTCAGGACTTCCATCTAACATGTGAGTGACATCTATAGAACGAAATGTTGCTGTGTCCCGCTCCACTTGTATATCAGGGTTCACTGACATAACTGACTAGACTCTCTGAAAATGTTGAGTTTACCAGTTATAATGATATCAATATCTATGCATATTCAAATGCTCTACACTTTTCGTCCCCTTGCAAGAGATTGGGCAGCTGTCTGATTCCTATCAAAGATCTTGGAAAAGATTCTCCCTGGTCCCTTGTCACCTTACTTTCTAGATTTTGTTTGACCGAAGCTCAATATGACTGAGACTAGAGCAGATTTTTTGGGAATATAGTCGACAAATACAAAGTATATAAAGTGAGGAATCTAAACCTTTTTAGAGCTAGAAAAATAACAGACTTTCTTCGGGGCATTTACATCCTCAAAAGTATGAGGCACAACCAAGGGATGTCATCGAGTAATTTGGACAATGTGTCAGAGAAGGTTGCCTGTGTAACAATGATCTGATTTGTTGATTGAATGTAGACACATGGGAATCCCTGAAAATTTTCATCCAGTGACAACAAAATTCACTTGAGATTTTACTTGAGAATTTGCGAGAATTAGCACAATTTCAAGTGATCAGAATAATCTTTGGACTCTTGAGCAAGGTATGAAGTTAACCTTTTAATAGATTGGATGTCCTACAGACCTCTGAGATAAAAAAAAATGGAGGTTTACATTGAGAGTAATCTGAGTAATACATGGCGGTTTCAAAATTTCTAAAAACGCGAATTGTGTATGTCAAGCATTTGCTTCAAATTCTTTTGTTCCTCCCAGGTTGACAGGCCTGCGTATCTGAACCTAATGTCCAGTTCATATACCAAGGGAAAAGTAATATGGAGCTCTGAGCTTCTATATTGAGCCTGATAGTACTTTTCCCTTGACCACGGTAGTTGGAAGTTCAATACAATAAGTAATAAGTAATTAATATCAGGTTAGGAAGATCCATGTAGAATTTCATTTCTACATGGATACTGCACATGCGTCCCGCAATGTGATTGGTCATAAGGCGAACCAGAGATCATTTTACAAATTTTGCAGTGCTTACATTCACAGTATTATCTTGCCATAGTAGCAAGATTGAAGTATGAAATATGTTTTCTAGATCCTTTAGGGTGTTACACTGGAAGATCTGGGGGGAGGGGCAGGTCCCCCTTGGGTGGACCCAGAAAAAAAATTGGGCCCAAAAAACATTTGGGTCCAAAAAAGCCTTTTTGGTCATTTCTGGGCCTAAGGCCTTATTTAAGGCCTTATTTTTTGATTTCAGGCCAAATTTTAAAGAAAATGGGCCTCAAAATTTCAAAATTTGGGCCCACTTTGAGGTTTTAGGGACCCAAAAAATTTTTCCACGCAATTGCTGACGTTTTTTTCTCTGACCTGAAATTTGCCCCCCCCCCTTGTTGGTTCCCAGATCCGCCCCTGGTGTTATCTCAGGGGTGCCATCCCAGGCCTGTATGACTGCCAAAACTCAAAAATCATGTTTAAGATGTGTATTGTCATTTTGAAAAACATCAATATTTTTGAAAAAGATTCCACACTTGAAGTTTAAGATCCAGCTGGAAAGTAAGATTTTGGTAAAAAGTTGCTATAGGCCTACCTGCACATGTTATTTTCTGGTACAAAACTAAGTATGAAAGCATGTGTATATTTCCTTGCTTGTTTCAAGAAAGTATCATTACATTGTCTACTTTTAGTAAACCTGGAAACAGGTCAATGGTAGCTCCTGTGTTGCTTGGAAACTTTGAAAGAAAATTTGGAAAAATAGAAAGTGTGAAATATCAGAATTTCCTGGAGTTCCCATTGACCTCTTACCAGATATACTAAAACCAGAACAACGGCAACGCCAAAGCGTAGCGAATCCCATCGAACAGAAATGACTGGCATTTTTACAAACAAAATATATAGCAAATATCATAAAATAACACACATAAGAAAGGCCACCATTTTCAAAATGGTTGCTCACTAGCCAAGCTGTCATCAGAAGAAGTAATATGCTTTTTTTTATAGTATTCACATACCAAATATGAACAAAATCGCTCCACTACTTTTCGAATAATGGTAAAATACTTCAAAATGGTGGCCATTTTTCAAAATGGCCGCCTTCTACCAAAAGTGTCATAAACAGTGTGCCGTGCTTATAGTATTCATATACCAAATATGAACAAAATGACTCCACTACTTTTCAAGTTACAGCAAAAATCGTTAAATAGCGAGTAAAGGCCGAGTAAATTACGTTTAAATGGCGGCCATTTTTCAAAATGGCCGCCTTCTACCAAAAGTGTCATTAGACAGGGTACCATGCTTATTATTATTATTATTATATCTTGGTTACCGCCATCTTATAGTATTCACATACCAAATATGAACAAAATCGCTCCACTACTTTTTGAGTTATAGGAAAATAATTTAAAATGGCGACCATTTTTCAAAATGGCTGCCTTCTACCAAAAGTGTCATTAGACAGTGTGCCATGCTTATAGTATTCACATACCAAATATGAACAAAATCGCTCCACTACTTTTTGAGTTATAGGAAAATATGTTAAAATGGTGGCCATTTTTCAAAATGGCGGCCATATTTCAAAATGGCTGCCTACTACCAAAAATGTCATTAGACAATGAGTCATGCTTATAGTATTCACATACCAAATATGAACAAAATCGATCCACTACATCTTGAGTTACAGCAAAAATCGTAAAATAACGAGTAAAGGCCGCCATTTTTCAAGATGGCTGCCATGTGCTTCTTTAATATCTACATTTTTAGCTTCATCAAAGTCCTATATAATTTTTTTACATTTAAAACATATTGCTATTAGTTTTACATATTGCACCTAAATTACTGTAAAATTGGCACTAAAATGGCCGCCATTTTTAAATGAGCGGCCATTTTGAAAATGGGCTTTCGAGCAAAAACTTCTACCCCCATAGGGTATATGTGTACAAAATATGAACAAAATCGGGCCAACGGTATTTGAGTTATTGCCCGAACGGACGGACGGACGGACGGAGGCGTTCCCTATATCCCTCCGAACTTCGTTCGATGGGATAATAAGACAATGTTATGATACTTTCCTGAAAAAAGCACAGAGCCGGAGCCAGATCCAGCCCCTATTGGTAGTAATCTTAGGCTCAAAGAATAAATGGGAAGATAAGACACAAACCAAAAATGGTACATCAAAAAAATGACCACCCAAAAATATGATGCTCGTAATGACATGAATGACCTTTATCTTTTCCATCTCTCAAACATTGAGTGATCAATATTTACCCTGTAATCTCTTCTTTATGTATTAGTTAGAATGGTTGCATGATATCAATTATTGACGCTTTAAATCGAATTTCTCCGGGACATTTATTTCAAATTTTCAGAGCGTAAAGATAATGGAGTGCTTCGGTAATTTCCGGCAGTGTCCGATGTTGTTTGTCTCTCAAATTATGTCACATCGCAACAAACAGCCAATGAAAGTAAAGGATCTCGTAGCCTAACAAGTAGTGTTGTCGCGATTAATCGATACATCGCGATATACATCGCCAAAGATGATTCTGGCGATGCATCGATGTCTGAAACAAAACATCGATGTTTTTGAAAAAAATTAATTTGCTAAAAATCACCCTTTCTTATCTTATTTTGACGCAAATCGCTTACCTTTCTCATGTCTTATTTCATTTTCCAATGTTTTCTGATAAATATTTCACTTTAAAACTGCTTTAGCTAGTCGAAATGAACCATTAATCTAAAAAAATTACTTTACTTTCATTTCACCCTTACTAGAAGTTCCCGGATGTACCGGATGTTCGGTATTTTAGTGCATTAGCGTTCGGTATTTCAGTGCACTTTTCTCGGACTTTTTCTCGATGTACATCGCGATGTGCATCGATGTTTACTACTGAATATTGCCGATGCATCGATGTACAATTATGGCACATCGCGACAACACTACTAACAAGCCGTTGTTATTGTTTCTACAGGATCTTAAAGAAACATCGTGGGGTTTCTCGATAATCTCTGATGTGACGTCATCTGGAGTGGTACATTTGACTTCGGGAATAAACATTTGAACAACAAAAATAGTCAAAGCATTCCATTAAATATACGCTCGTTTATTTTACGCTTTTATGAACAGACGCTTTCTTGAATGTGTGGTTTTAGTGATTGGAGATGTAAGCTAACAACAGTACGCATCGTTTGAGGAATTCAAGGAAATATAAATTTTCGGATGATTTTAGGTCTTGTCCTTGAGTATATTTATTGAGCCTAGACACCACGAAGATGTAATCTGGCAGAGGTCCGTGGAAAAAAGCAAGGACATTAACACATGCCTTCATACTTCTATTATTACTTTTTCCGTAAAGGCTAGAGTGTCGGTACGGGAGACTTTGCTGTGTTGACACGCCAGAGAACCGACAAATAAATTGTCTGCACTTTAGCCCTAGTCTACCCCTCCTAACACTGTAAAACATGCTAAATTCGCAAGCATAGTGATTTGGCCTTTATTTGCCTGGATGTTAAATCGCAAATTTAAAACTGTGTATTTTCCTGAGTAATGTTGATGAATTAGTGGAACAAATGAAGAATAATCTACTGGTGCACATTATTTTCTAATTGTGTTTTGTTTATTTATGTTATATTTCTAAAAGTCGTATTTGAATGCATTTGTTTGTTTCAACACTACATGCTGGGTTATAAACAATGAAACATGTACAATAGCGATCGCCAAAAATCGCCTTTCAGTCGGCAGGGGGGATGTGACATACATGTAACTTAAGCAACCCAACCCAAACAAACTTTTTTAGTACAAAAATTGATGCAACTTGCTTCAAACATCGGGCTTCAAACTTGAGCCAGAAGCTTCAAATAAAGAAGCATTTGAAAGGTATTTTCTTTATCGGATCTATTGTTATTGGTTATGGGGGTTCAGTCGCATCCACCTGTAACCAAACCCGTCTGGCCCAGTTATCTACTCCCGACCTCGTAGATCTGGGCCAGACAATGTCCAATGCAAAAAAGGGGGGATTTACTCCGGAAAAAACACACTGGTTTTTCAATGTATAATACGTGCTGATAAATGAATAAACATCAAAAAATCACTTACGTGTTTGTTCCTTGTATCAAACTTTGTATTTATACTAGGTTTCCATAGCTGGATGACGGCTAATAAATAAGAATGAAACGATTAAATGCAGCAAAAAGAAAAATTCTTCTGCAATCTGTTCGTGATCTCGTAGAATATCGAGAAGTCTCGGCTTCATATTTCGTTCAGTGCTACATTTGGTCAGTTCAACAAATTGAAAAATCGTATTTAATGTCCACCATATTTCTTTCCAGTCTAAATACAACATAGATGCGTCTGTTTTATAAAGTTCTCTACGTTTTGATAACAAATCTGTTGAACAAATCGTAATATTTGGAATGTATTGATTCCCGGGAAATGTATTTTCGTTCCATGAAAGTTAAAAAATTATCGCGTCACACTCGTGTTACGTCACATCACGTGACTTTATTCGGTGCGGAGAACTGACGAAATATTGACGAAATGTTGGGCCCATTTCAACATCAATATGACAAAAAAAACACCACATTTACGTGTAAGTTATGTACTCTTTATTTCAAATAAATACTTGGGTTTACAGTTGGGGACATAAATAAATGACAGGTGGATTTGCTGAAGTGAGGATTTCCCATGTTAAAAATAAGAGAAAAACACTTGCATTTTAGACTACGTTAGATAACAAGTTTTAGCGCTCTCTCTCTCAACAGAAGTAAAATAAGCACAAGTGAAAAGTACAAGTGTTATTTTTAGTACATGAGTTTTAAAAACAGCAACAAGTGATCAAAGGTTATCCCGTACCAGGACTATAGTCCTGCAGTGAGAGCATTCTTTTGCCTGTACGATTACAACATGGGAGAATTTTCTACACTTCTTACACTTAAGATACCTATTTCAATAGATTCCTTGGTACTTTAGCATTCTTTTCTTGTAGTTGAATCCACAATTGTCTGGGTTTATCGGCAGAACAAAGAAATTTTCGTTTTTAATCACAATATTTGCGTGTAATATTTAACATATTTCAACCGTCAAATTCCTCCATTTTTGGTGCTTCCGGGCCACTTCCGGGTCAGTCAAACGGGGAATCCCCTTTTAAATCCAACCGCCATCTTGGAAAGTGATTGAATATCTCTCGATGAAAAAGAACAATGTTCCAGTTCTGCCGATATACCCAGACAATTGTGGATTCTACTACACGCAAAGAATGCTAAAATACCCAGGAATCAATTGAAGTAGGTATCTTAAGTGTAAGGGGCGTAGATAATTCTCCCAAGTTGTAATCGTACAGGCAAAAGAATGCTCTCACTGCAGGACTATAGTCCTGGTACGGGATAAATCAAAGGCAGCATAATAATGCCAAAGTGATCCCGGAACACCTTATAAGGCACTGAAAAGGACTAAGAAGAAGAAGAAGAGAATTTACAAGAGGCCATAAATCAGTGGATGAGATTATACAAAATGTAAAATATACAAATTTTAAGGGATATGTATCTAGACAATATTGGAAATTATGGGCTTTCAGACAACCATAATTAGGAAATGGTGATCGAAAATCGACCTGTCATTTATTTTTGTCCCAAACTGTTTTGGTTGGATGGCTAATAGGGAATGAATAATAAGTGATGATTCAGCGACATGTTTTTTCCCGAGTAAATACCCCTTTTTTGCATTGGACATTGTCTGGCCCAGATCTACGACAGGAGTAGATAACTGGGCCAGACGGGTTTGGTTAATCCTGGCCGAGATCGACATTTTTCAATTCAAACACACGTGCACATTGCAAGATACGATTGTAGAGCATTCTGCATAAATAAAACGCGTTGAAAGTAGCTGAGTATTTAGAATAGCAATCTATAAAAACTTACATAGTGTTGCTTATGGGGTTTCACTGCTTTAGCTCTGAATAACGTGAAAACCAAAACTCGAATTTTCATAATATTCAAAGTTCGCAATTTTTGTTGACCTCGACCTACAAATGGCAAACTCGATAAGCCTATTCGGAATAAAGTTTATATTAACAAAGTTTAAATTCAACAATATTTATATCAAACACAAATATAAGATTTACTAAATATTCAAATAAAAAATTTATATTGTAAAATTAGCTTTTAATCATCAAAAACATTAAACAAATATATTTTTTTCGATTTTACAAATTACAACAAGTTCAACATTTAGGGAACACGGAAGTCCAATTTATTTTGCAAAAACACGTAAAAGGAACAAATTATTCCTGTTTGTTGAGTTTTCAGAGAAGATACTGCATTAGTAAGTATGGAATCGTATGTTTAATACACTTAGTTTATAACTGAAGCTGTTTATATACGCATTATACGTTAATACTGTACTATGATGAAGCTAAAGTAAAAAAAAGTTTTGAAATATTTTTTAATGGCGTCAATTATCACCCACTTGTCCTTGACAAATTAATTATCAGTATTTCAAATACTATTTGTATGGGAACTAAATGTTCATGGTATTAGATTGCGTCAAGAACACATGGTGCCTTTCTGGTACATTTTTCCCTAGACTAGTTGAACACAATCATAAATGTATATAGTGCTAAAAATGTAAAGTATGAAGTCTCAAATCACCATGGTCTGGGAATGGTGATAGAGAATCAAGATGCCATTTATTTATGGTGAGCACTGTACATCACCTGTCATCTGGGGCCATGAATTCGTATGATTCTGAATCCAATCCAGATAAATTTTATATTTTGGGATAAAATCTTGGATTGCTAATCCGATAAATATTTGGTGGTGGTAGAGCCCATGGTGAATTCGTACGATCCGAGGATTATGATGGGGAATCCTCAAGATTTATCCAATTTGCATTGGAATTCGGATAAAATTTATCCAAAAAGTAATCCACCTCAAGAGGTGGATTGAGATTTATCCTGAGATTAATCCAAGGATCGTACGAATTCACAGATTTTTGATTAATTCTTGGATTAATCCCACAATGCATCATTACCATGATGAAATTTATCCGATTGGATAGCGGATCGTACAAATTCACTGCCTCAGAGGTTATATTGTTGTAACGGCCCAAGGGTGCCTCCAAGGGGCTGCACTTTTAATTCAATGCTCCATGCATGAATCAAACCTGGAACCCTCCACTCCAAAGTCTGATGCTCTACCACTGAGCCACCATAATTGAGAGCCACCACTACAGCTGGTGGCTGGGCCGTAGTAGCAGTTTGTTACATTGTCATCTCGCTGGTCTTACCTGTACTTTCAAATATAAACCACTGATTCAGGCAGAGACATACATGTATAATAACATGTTATTTTACAAACACAGATATTTTTGGTTTGTCTCATTGTTAGAATTCCCTATATGAGGAGTGTATATCTTTTTGTATGTCAATTTAAACAGGTACATGCCATGGGCGTAGCGCTATTTTTCCAAGTAGTACGGCACCACCACAGGAACAAGAGTCAAGAATCAAAAAACAAGCATTTAGGGGGGTCTGGGGGTCTGGGTCTGTTCTCCCCCAGGAAAATTTTGAAATTTGGTTATATTTGGAGCGAATTTGCAACCATCTGGTACGCCTGTGCGTACCTAGCGTACCGGGCGCTACGCCCATGCATGCATAACATTATTTTCATCACTGGATATGCTACATGTACTCATCAATGTTACCTTTTCTAGTTGCCTTTATCTGTTCAACTATATTTCCAGATGATCTAGCCTACTGTATTAGGTTCATCGAAATATGGGGGCAAGTAGGGTCGATATGAAAGTGGTCCTTCTGGGCAAGGAATATGGGGGAAAAACCAGCCTGGTAGAGCGCTACCTACATGACAGGTTTGCAGGAGATACACCATACCAAAATGTAAGGAATTATAATGCTGTAAGTGTGCTGCACCACTAACCATGTATCCTTCTCACACTGTTGCCTAAATTAAAGGAGCTTCATCTCTTACTCTCCACCCTGAAATACATGAACATTTTAAAAAATCACAATAACTTTTTACCATCAACAGACTTTGATAAAACCTTTATCCTGTAAACAGGTTAATATTACAAAAGGTTTACAGTATATCATTATCGATGTTGAAAGTTCCAGGCTGTTATGATTTTTAAAATTACATTTTTTGGCTGTGCTATAGCCCTTTTAAGAAGACACTGTCTGTATTGTTTCATTGAAAATTCACTTTAGCTGGTACAATATTATAGAAACAGTGAATTGAACTAACTTTGACATCTTAAAAAGTCTCTTTTTGAAATCTTGATGACAATAAAGCGGTTGGATCTGCTCCCCATCTTCTACAATATTCAGTTCACTGAAACATGGACTTATGCAGAGTCCAGCATATGATTTATAATGGATTCATTAGAATTTTGACAAAGAACATTGACACATTGATATATAGTGATGTCACAAATTTTAATGCTAACAATGAATTTAAGGGTCTTGCCGTCCGGCTGGATCACAGTCAGAACAAATGAAAACAACAGTCAAAATTATCGCAAACAATAAACATAGCACTGAAACAGCTGCTAAATTTCTCTGTGCAACTGGTAATTTTGGTATAAACAGCCAGAGAAAATTGCCTGCTGCAAATGAGAATCCTGCTTAGTGAAATGATTGATCAAAAATGATTTGACCCCCCGCCCTTTGTTATACCCTGCCTTCCCTCTGCTAGAATGTACAGTGTAGCTATGTTTTGTAGATATGTAGATAAGAAACTATTGTTTGTTATAGGTTGTTGAACTATTTGACCATAGTAGATGTTTTTTAAGATGATGTAGTTTTACTTAAATGTTTGAAACCAACAGTAGGCCTACATCAAAACTAATTATTAGTGAATCCAGTTCACATTACACTTTATCCTCTGAGAAATTCACTTCTTTATGTTTTAAAGCTTAGTAGCTTAGTGTTGAGCTTTTTCAATTTGCTTTACAACCATCCATGCCTGTTAGATATGTGTGTGTGTGTATAAAAGAAATCTCTAAAAAATGAAAAAATTCCCCTTGAGACCTATTTCAGCCCTAATTGGTTCTTTTTCAGTTTTTTCTTCTGATAAAAATCTTGTGTGGTTTAAGTTTTCTTAATTGCAATTTGACATATAATGTGGCAATGAACTTCTTTTGCTATAATTTTCAATATGTTTTAAATAAAAGAATGCAATGCAAACAAAGCAGTGATATCAAATAGCATAACCAACATATGGTACATCAGATTGTCTTGATTTATCTTGTTGCCATTTACAAAACATTCATCTCCAACCGTACATGTAATAATGCTGGAATAACCCAATTTGAACATAAACAATCTAGAAATCCTCAAGATTCTCAAAGACCTTGTCTATTAATTATGACATTGTATAATTTTAGACAATTGGTGCAGCCTTTGGTGCCAAGAAGGTTGACATTGGAGATAAAGTGCTTACATTAGGCGTGTGGGTGAGTTCATGTAAAGAGAAATAAAGGTAGAATTTTTGAAAAAATGATCACACCCAAAATCAGATAATAAAACCAATGCAATTACCTGTCCTGCTGTTACAATTTTTTAATCATGTACAGGGAATCATCCAGAAATTATGTCCAATATATTGCTTTTTAATCTCACAGACGTTTCCCAAACATCATCAACTTAACATCTAAAGAATAAAGTTACTACTATTTGATTGGTCGATTTCATGGTTACTATGATAACATACTGTGACACCATCCAAAAACATCTCTTTTTCTGGATACCCTTGTACAAGTATATTCAGTTCATGTTCATTCTAAAACATATTCCAGGATACAGCTGGCAGTGAGAGGTATGAAGCTATGAGCAGAATTTACTACAGAGGTGCTAAAGCAGCCATAGTGTGTTATGACCTCACAGACAGAACCAGCTTTGAAAGGGCAAGGTTTTGGGTGAATGAACTCATGAAAAATGAAGAGGTACAATGAATTTTTTCATAATATACTGTTGATGCAATGATATTATTTGTTTGGATTAAGATGGTTTAGTTTTTGGCCCATGTGGTGTGTGTGCATGGAGTTCGATATTGAGACATACATTTTAAAGGTGAAAATATTACATGCAATCAGGCATACTCCTTTCCATCAACCTACATCAAGCTCAATGAACTATTGATAGTATAAAATTGAATCAGTATAGTTTTTATGTCGCCACCAATGTGACATATTGTTATAGTCTCTAACTCTTTTGTGGACAGTGTTTGGCAATCAGCTTTCAGAGTTCTGTGTCTGTAACAAATTCTTACAACTTCCAATAAGACTAACTTTAGATTTTTACTGTCAACATATATAAACATGTTATGAGTTCCAACACATTTCTGCCAGCATCTTTTACCACAGGTGTAGCAACAGATAAGTGGACATTGAAGGTCAAAAAAGGTATTTTTTCAACTTGTTTCAAATTGACCAATTTTGACCAATTTCAAAGTTATGTACAAGATCTCAGAAGTTGCAAATCTGACTTTACATTTGTTATTTGATCTTTGGTGACCTTTATTGACCTTCGGAATGTCAAAAAGTTGAATTGAGTTTTCAAATTGATTTTTTGATCCAAATTTAAGTCAGCATAATCACAAAATACCTACTGAGGTCTTTGGTTGACCTTGATTAATCTGTGAAAGGCAGTGACATTTTGTCATGATAATGCCTTGTAGTTTATTTTTGGAACAATAAAACCAAACAAAATCAAATCAAGGGTTCAACCTAAATAATTTCATCCTTTTTATTGAGTTAAAATTGTGTCATCTACATTGTTTTCATTTTTATTTCAGGGTTGTAAAATATACCTTTGCGGTACAAAAAAGGATCTAGTCATATCAGATAAGAGAACCAGAGAAGTTGACTACCACATGACTACAGACTACGCAGAAGGTAATTTACGAATATGTATTAGATGTATTCATAGATATCTACTCATGGATAAAAATGGTATCTGTCAAAGTGATGTATTTATCCAACCAAATGGGAAATGGAAATGCTGACTGAGTTGACAATGTTTTGTTTGGTGGGATTTTCTGCTCTGAGGATTTGTTTTTCTAGTTTTTTCTAGTTTATTTTCCTTGTCATCTAAGAATGCCTAAAATTATTGACCTGCATCAAAACTGTTCTTACTATATTTTGCTTGATAACCTATTCACACATGTAGAAAAATAGTTAGAACAGCAACAGGTTGGCTTAATGCATATGTGCCTTGTATATGATTTACATAATGACTTTTACAATTTTTTATTTCAGAAATCCATGCTGAGGTTCATGAAACATCTAGCAAGACAGGGGAAAATATATGTGAGTGCACATTGTAAAAATATTCACTGGTATTAGGATGTAGTAATAGTTCCTATCCTTGGATATTTTTAGTTTGCCTTAAATTAAACTATTATGCTGTGGACATTTGGATTTGAAATTTTAACCAATTAAAGTATATGATATGAAACTTTGCATCTGAAAATTGGTTCCTGTATCATGTGTGGATGCTATGATCCTGTAATATATTCTACTGTTTGGGTAGGTAATGTGATTTTGCATGATACAATAACCTGTGCTAGCCTGTTTTGCTATCTGAATTAGGATATCTAACAGTAATTACTAATTCCCATAATATTACAAATCAGTTACAGTGCCATTGGCAAATGAATAATTCAAGTAGCCATGCCCTAAGCAGTAGAAGATGTTCCTGGATTGTGGCATAAATTTATCAATTTCACAATTAATTATGTTGCAGAGTTTTGTGTCATACAAGCTTCAGGGATCTCCCCAGTATTAAAGCAAGTGGGCACAGCACCCACCTGAGATTTTGAAAATATGCTTGCACCCAACTGAAAATCCATTTTCACTTACTCAAAAATGAGAAAAATCATGAGAAATTTGCATATTTTGACCAATTTCGGGCTGAATTGTGAAAATATGAATTTTGCACCCACCTGAAACAAAATCCTGGAGAGATCACTGAGCTGTGATTGAAACGCCAAAGCTAAATGTCCACTGCAAAGTGGCTCACTTTGATTCATCAAATGACAGACTTAACTTCCACTTATGAAAAAGAAGCTTACAGTCATTACTTTTTCCTGGCAATACTCATTGATGTTGTTGAGTTTGGAGAACCCTTTGAGAATATCACAAAGCACCAGTTTTGAAACCACTCATTGAAAGCTCATCCAGTTGTATGTCAATGGAGTTTCAGATCAGTTCAATAGGAGATACATGTAGTTGATAAATCAAGCTTAAAGAATGTATCTATTGATCTATTGTTTCGAAACAAATATCAAGATTCAAAACTGTTCTGTCCCCAAAATGGTTTTAAAAAAGCAAAGTGAAAATTATAAATGCAAAGTCTTGTAACTTTCACATTAATTCTGTTTTCAGTTGAATTATTCACAAAAATAGCAAAAGATTTTGCATCAAATCCAGAAAATATAAAAAAGGAGCGTAAGTATCTTATTTTTTATCACACTTTTAAAGGTGCTAAATTGTGGTGAATGAATCAATATCAACTTTTGCACTTACCTACAATGTTTCTACAATCTTAAGAAATGGAAGATGAAAGAAAAATGTAAACCCACATTGGAGACAAACATGAAAAATTGCACTGTTAAAGGGGCAATATCTGTAACTCTGATCCCAAAATGTTTTTAATTTATGATATGCATATCAACATTTGAGGAAAATGTTCAGCTAATCAGCAGCATGATTTGTTCCAAATTGTTTTCTTTACAACCATCACCAGTTTCAATTTTAAAAGGTATGAGCAAATTTTTCAAACGGTGATATTTATAGAAGAGAACACCAATGATTTGTAGTGCAATTTACAATTCCATTATGAATCGAAAATATTTTGGTGTTAAGGATCAGAAATCCAGATACCAGCCCTTTCAGAGTACTGAAAGTACAGACATTTTTCAATAGTTTTACATTTTATTTGTATGAACATTCAATTGATTTAGAATATAAATCAAGCATATATATGTACATCATGGGATTATTTTTTTCAGGGGACAAAGACAAAGAGACATTGGATTTATATGAAGATAATAAAAAGAAGTTTGGGTGTTGTGGTTGATGATGTCAAAGAAAGAAATAGGCAGCAAGGAATAAATTTCATATTACTAACAAGAAACCATCTTGTCATTGGGGCATTATCTTACTTACTATACAAACTGCTATAGTTATACCAGTACAGTCAGTGTATTCCCTCAGTCGAACGCTTGTATTCTTGGACGAATATTTGGTGTCATCAACTAGCCTCAAAGAAAACATTAAAATATGATATCTGATTATATTCCAGATTTTGTAATTCGTGAATTTAGCTGTATGAATTTAGTTTCAATATTGTTGTTAAAACATCTTCCCTCCTCAATATAATGAAAGGACAGCCAGTTGTATGTAGAATGCCTTTGGGGAGTTTTTCATGCATTTTGCTTATATTTTTCATCTAAAAACAACAAAATACACCATATAATCCCAAAAAATATTTCTCATTTTCAAAGATAATCTATGGATCAGCACCCAGATATTTTTATTTTTCAAAGTTCAGAGGGCTTGGAATCATTGATAATTAAAACTTTTGAATAAGAAAAATGCTGTTTCAAATAGGTTTCATGAATGCCAATAATTTCTGAAATTATGTAATTCTTAACAAATCCTCGAATCCCTTGAATATTTTTTTAGAGGAATTTCCCATAAAAATCCAATATTCTTTTTATATATTTCTACTTACAACTCGCAGTCCTTTCAAAATGTTGATTTGCCAATCACTTAACCTTTTCAAAAAATCAACAAGTACTGGTGGAATTATAATTTACCCTCTCCTCCTAACAAAATTGACTTTGTTCTTCCACAATTGTCAACCCGAAACATATCAATGTATACCCATAGAGGGAATCAGTGTACAGTAAAACCTGTCTAAGTGAAACACATTTACACACAAGGTGTTCCAATTATAGAGGTTCATTTTACATTGAGCCTGTTGGCCTTGGAACTCTGAATAGTGTTTCATTTCTAGAGGTGTTCCACTTTACAGGTTTCACTTTAAATTACATGCATTTAGTTATCCTCAAATCTGGAAAATCTTTCAGTTGTTTACTCAAAGTGAGCAACTTTTGAGCTTAATGTTAGATAATGCTTTGAACCAAAAACTGACGATGGTGAAAGTAACACACCATTTCTAGGTTTATGAGTATGTATATGTATGTACAGTAAAACCTGTGTAATCCGAACACCACTACAACTGGCCAAATGCTCAGATTAGCATGTGTTCATCTTACTTCTTTTTTGATGCTAGGGCATTATCTTTGTACACTGTACATGTAATTATCTGTATTCGTAAGAATATATTTATTAAGCTAAGTGCTAATACAGGGTTTTTCAACACTCATCATTCCCAAGCTGTGCATGTTAAACATTACTTTTACTGACAGACAGGATTTTGATTATGTTCTGTCGATAATCGATAGCCAGATAACTACGCATTGAAGAATAAAATGAAAATGTACACCTGGGTGGATTAAATAGTATTAGCTATTAACTTCATCAATTTCTGTATTTATTAAACTGGTATAAAATGCAGTTTAGTTTTTGACCACCTTTGTACCTCTGGCCCTGGCCAGATTAATTTCTTTTAAATAGTTGGACAAAGTACAAAACCATGGTCTGCACTTAATTTTAAGTTAAATACAGGGTTCCAATGGGCATTTTCTATAATGCTTTCTATTCAATTCCTGCCATGTTCACATGAGAGGGAGTCTGAATTAGACATCAGGTAGTGAAGAAATCTCAGCATTAAGCCAATATTCCCAGAATGTTGTTAGAATGGGTTGACTACGCAAGAGCGTAAGAGTATTGGAAATACGTGCTCTAAATGTCATTGTTCTTGACTTTGCAGAGATAACGTGGTTCACTCATGGTTTTGCATCAAGCATTTGTGATCCCCAATTACCATAAATTTATCCCATATCCACACTGAAGAGAAGGGATCCCAGACTTGATGCAAAGATGTTGTACAGATGTTGCATAAATGTATTGAAAAAATATTTGTGAATAGTTGAATATTTGTTCACCACTGTAAGTTTCAAATTCAACTTACATTAATTTGTATGGTCAATTTTTAAGTTGTGACATATTGTTATTGTCTCCAACTTTTGTGTGTCTGTGCCTGGTGTTCGGTGGCATCTGTAACAAATGGCAAGTGGTGACATTTTGCATGTTAATGCCTTGTTTATTCTAGCCCCGTTCGACTATAAACACACAGGTAAATGGTTTTGCTTTTGAAGTATCTGTTCTATCAGAATGTCGCTCAGAGCTGCATAAAAACTCCATAAAATGGAGTAGAACTTGGTGTTAGAAAAAATTGAATTGTGATGGAGTTGACGTTTCAAATGAAACCAAGATTGTTCAGTTGGTCGTGTTCAAAAATGTGTACATGTATATTCCAACTTGTATTTTTGCAGTAAATTAACCATTTTATAATGCAGTGTAAATATAAATTGTTTGTAAATAAAATACAAAACATAAAATATGTTGTCTTTTCTTATAAAACCTTTATTCTCATAAAAGTAAGAAACCTTCTCCATCAAGTCCATATAGTACTGTAAACACAAATCATAAAAGCAGACACAAGTTCTGCCATGTACAAAAATATCTGTTCTTCATTAGAGACCTTACATTCTTAAGTCTTAAATAAGTAAACCCCAAGTCCAGAACTTCCATGTCTATTTGAGGATGAACTCAGAAGTCTGAAGGTTTGAGTGGGGATGGGGGAGGGGGTTCTGACAATATTCATTCTGGATTAAAGAGATATTTTATTCTCTCAATACTTTTAATGCTTGTTTAAGACCTTTAACCTGGAGTACATTTCCAGAAACGTTTGTGAAGAGAATTCCGAAATACTGAATTTTATTTTTTTACTGGTCATAAGATAGATTTCCAGAAACCCCATGTATAGAACAATGGATTTAGAAAGCTATTGTTCTGAAAATGTACCCTTGAAGGTTATACAATGATAGTGTAGTGGCACCACGAAATATCTCATATCCACTGTAAGACATACTCGATATTGATCTATATAAATACACATACACCCAGATAACCTATCTATACTACATTACAGATTACGTTAAGGTTAACGTTTTATTTTACAATTACATATATACATCTTGATCTGGAATACTCCACCAGTTGAAACTTTACTCTCTTTACAACAATCATAACCTGAATTAATTATCATTTCATATTAGTGCAAGGATTACATATTGGAAATTGCTTTTGAGAAGTTCTACAGGTTCAGCAATGTGAACACAAATATAGTATAGCTGTGTAGTTTCCGCGTTACATTGTTTGACAAATTAGCAGCTTTATAATAATTGTACAACTTGAGTTAGGCATGCATGTATGAGACGGAGGAACCATTTTTAATATATGGATATACACATGAATGCAGTTATATTCCCATAAGAGGGTAAGATAACTAAGTCTCTTGAAACAGCTAAGTGTAGATTTTGTCCTAAAATCATATATAAAATTTATATTGGAGTACCAACAATTCACAATTTTCAATTTTGATACAAGCAAAAATATTTACCTCACAATACGATACAAACAATGAGAGCATGATGTAAGGGCCTAGTTTTACCTAATTCTGCATTTTTAAGCAGCTTTTAACGTGATTTTGTTGGCTGAAAACAATACAGAAATCATGACACTCCTAGTATATACACATTCATTGATGCATAACATAATTAGCACTCACTTAAAGTGATCGAAGCATGATAATACATTGTATGTATTCTAATGGAAAAAGCAGGTAAGTATAGTTCTGTACAAAACCTGTTCGTACTTGGAGGTCCATTCACATGTTTAACATGCATATGTGACCAGGCAAGATTACAATAGGTTAACCCGAATATGAACTTGTTAATGTCTTTGAGGTAGGCGAACTATGTTATGAACATAGTCAATTACTATTTAAAGATTACATTTAGTCATTTTAAGCACTACTCACTACAGATTTACCAGGTGGCAGTTTCTTAAAATACAATAGAACACAATTCCTGAAATTTAATCGTCATACGACAATTAAATCTTATGAATCAGTGTTCAATGTATTTTGAGAAAAAGCCTCCACATGAAAAGCAATGGGAAAACATGGGTGACAAAAGCTACCTTGTTTCCTGGCACCTTATTGATGAATATACAAAATGATGAGTCCCTCCACTCAAAACTAACTACATATAAGTAGTAAATAGACAGTAACCTTGACAACATGAGTCCCTTCCTAACAACAACTAAGTACGGTATAAATATTATAATTAACCAACAATGTGCAGTTAATATTAACAGCTTAAAACTTAAATCTGATGAACTAAAGAATGAAAACAAATAGACAGATGTAAAAAGAATTGAAATGCATATATGAATTGAATTATTTTACACTGCACGACGTATCTAGGTACTGCATATAACTTAATGCTAGTAATTATTAATTAATGACTTGAGTTAGTCAAAAATGCATGAGTGACAAAATGTTATTTTCCCATTCATAACTGTACAATATAAAATAAGCATTTAATCCATAATAAAATTCAGGAGTCATTTATGCAAACAATCATAACTTTATGACAAATATAACATATACAAGGGGTGATCAATAAGTAATGGACGCTTTTTTACACAGATACTTTTTATAGACCAATCCCTTTGATTTTCCTACCAGTGATACGTCATTCAATTATCTATCAATTCTGAAGATTTGAAGACAAAATATATAATACATGTTGATATATCCTTATTTCCGTGAAGGAGGTACAGGTACCCCGGGACCGACATTTACGTCACATATTCAGTTTTAGCCAGTTTGGCAAATTTCAGATAGATTTGAACTTTTTATATGCAACAAGTGTTGTGTTGCTTGAAATTTTTTGCTGACTGGAAACACATAAACAGAAAGTATTGTGATGTCAGAGTGTCATATGGAAGGAGTTTGCAGGTCAATTTGAGAAAGCATTGAGGAAGAAGGGGTGGTGGGAGAAGGGAACACCCTACTCCATATGGACAATGCATCTGCCCACAGATCTCAAAATGTTCAGAAAACAATATCCCTGGACCTCAAAATTGAGCCCTTGACCAATGCACCATATTCCATATATTCCATTACTTATTGATCACCCCTCATATTTCTACAGTAACATTCTACAGGATTAGATTATATTCCAGTGAAAATACAGGATACAACTGGTTCACTGTAACTCACAGACATGTAATACAATGCTATATTTCTGGTCTCCAAGTATAAATTGAGTGATATAGTAAAACCTGTGTTTATTAACACCCTCCTAACTTGCCAAAATTGTTCATTGTAGATAGGTATTCCTTACATAGAGAGTTCATTCACATGTGAGACACTCTTGTTTCATATAAAGAAGTGTTTCTTACATAGAGGTGTTCCATTAGGTTTTACTGTAATTTATAAGCAGACAGAAGACATTCACCAGGCACAATTGGACATGAGAATTTCAGAGAGTAATTCCACATACTGTATAAGTGGTAATTTTACCTAATCATTTGCCTATTGCCTAATTTTTGCCAGGTTTGGAAAATTAAATGTCAGAAATATTATCTTCATAATGTTATTCAATGGGGAGTTTCTTGTCATTAGGAAAATACACATACACTAGGCTAGCTTGTAGCTTTGGCAATAAGAGTAACACTGAATAGATTGATATGGTATACACATGAACTGTACTTGTCTATATATTAATAAATCTGAAACAGTAAGCATGTCTTCTTGGACACACAAGAAATATGTACATATTGTTCTAGTATTGGGTACAATTTAATTAACTGGTTTATTGCTTATTCCATGAAAAATAAATTGTATCTATATCTATTTTTTGGAAATAATAAACCAGTATGTCCAGTAGATTTAAACATTAAGGGACAAGTTCAGTTCAAATACCCTTATTGTATTACACATGTACCTAGCATATAATCTTACATTCCGCTACAATACATATAAGAACAGACAGTTCATCAACATATTTTATAAAATATCCAACAATATGAAATACAATTTTACACAATGATTTTCATTGTATTATTATATAAAGCAAAAGGCAATGTGTGTCAAAAGAAAAAACTCCAAACTGAAATTCAGCTGTTAAACAATATCACTACGGAGTAGGGGTGTACTATCACTCATTAAGTTGCAGTTTATAATTTAATTTTGTTCAAATTGCATATTCACTTCTAATAGGTATTATGATCATGAAATAAAACATTCCCCAGTGAGAAATATTGGTATTATCACATGTGGTGGGTCAAAAAGCAAATATAAGTCGGATATTGTTCATTTGAACGTCACATATTAATATCTTGCTTGAATATATTCCCTCTAGTCAGATGCCATGATGAAACAACCTTTTTTGGGGTTGTCGAGTGGTCTAGATCACTGAACATGCTGAACCATGAGGTCATGACTTCAAGACTTCTGAGATCGTTGCACTTATTCATTTATACAATGAAAAAATGAAGCAGGCGAAGAGTGACAATTTTCATGCTTAAATTCATCATGTTAACCATACCATATTCAAACACAAGTGATAATACCTCAAAATCTAGCTGGAGTGACCATGTGTACATGATTAAAATATTAAATAATAAAAACATTACTGGATAACATAACTAGTTGGTGGATTTAGAATGTCAGAATAATAGTTATTTACACATAAATTACAACTGAATATCAAATACCTTGCTCACAGTACAAAAATATTGGCGCTAGCACCACCATTACATATAACATCAAAGTGGTCATATAACCTAACCAATGAAGTACACATTCAATGTATTAAATGAGCACACATTAAATTGATATGGACCATATATCTCTTAATCACAATCCGAGATCAGATTCTATTTTATCAAATCAAAGGCCCTAAAATTATATATGCACGATGACATCACATGCAAAGAGGGTGCTGACAACTTTTGAAGTATTTATCGACACTGATGACAGTACCTATTATTGAGCTAATTAATAAAATCGTTTTCTGTTGTCCTCTTGTTTTTTTAAATAAAGCATAAATCCGACCATGCCGCATATTCCAAGGCCAATGATGGAGACTATGATGATGACTAGCAGTTTCCAGCCTGAGAGACCACCCCCTCCACTCATAAAACCTCCTTTTACATCATCTACATGATCTGGAATAGGAGAAAAATTATCTATATTATTTTTGGAAAAATATTTATATGAAAAACCTATTGAATATTTTGGTGTTTACGTGCAAGTTAACATGCAATCAATTAGGATGATTATATGAAACAATAATTTATATCATAATATTCATGACTGAATATATCATTTAACTCAACTTTGAAGTATCTATCCTATACATACTATCGTATACATGTACATATATTGTATAAAACAGGTTAATTGTAAAACGTTTTTTATCCTGGCTTAGTAGGCAGATATCTGCCTGCCATGTGCATCTCCAGAGATATGGTATTTCCCTCAGGATAATCCCTATATCCAACACATCCTTAAATACATTAATACTATACAGATATATTTTAAAATCGAATTTGGATGCTGGATATATATTACCTCTAGGTGGAGCAAAGTATTCAGCACCAGGCTCTATTTTTGTATAGTCTTCCCTATCATTGCCTTGTTTACTCTCCTAAAATAGACCGAACACCTTTATATTTACGATATCTTACAATTTGTGAGTGTTTTATATACTCTTGTTTTGCATTTACATGTTTTTAGTTATGCTGACGAGTTCCTTTGTTTAGTTATTTTGAAGTAGTGTATAGATGTCACTACTGCATTGAGTCCAAATAAAATTATCAGAGAACATCTAATTTTTTGAATTTTTTCATAGAACAAGATGTACTCAGTATATTTATCTTTATTTCATTATGGTATTTATTTGTGTTTTAATACACACTTGATGCTTAAATCACCAATAACATTACAGTAAATGTGACTTAAAATGAAGGGAAAACTTACATCAAAATCAGATTGTAGCTGGTATAGCTTCATAGATATAATATCATGGTTATCTGAAAGAAAATATTAATGAATTCAGAGATAAAAATATTGAACATGAAAATATAAAGTATAAACGATTGTACTGAACTTTGTATCACATGTATGATCATCTTAAATCAAAATATCCAGACTTTGAAGGAATAGAACCACACATGAATTTGACTCCTTCAGATTTCAGAATGAGTTTTTCCAGCAACAATCCCTTTATGGAGACAAGACACCCCAAACCTAGACAAGGTGTTACTATTCTTTAATCAACATATAAATCTTCAATAACAGTATGAATTAATGTAACGAATGTGTGTCTAAAAAATAAAATCTCAATTTATTTTACTCCATTTATCTTACCTGCTAATTGTCCAGTGGCAGCACTTGCTCCAAAGTAATAACCAGTAGGTAGTCTAACACCTTTCACCTCAAAACATTTCTTCCAGGCATTTTTACCATCTATATCCATGGAAACCTGGAAAATAATACTGCGTTTAAATAAAACATATAACTTTAAATGTATGAATGTGTGTCTCCTTGTAATAAGGGATTGTATTTTGAAGTAAAAATACCTACCATATCTTGATTCAGGGTATTCAATATTTAAATGTCTGTTAACTTCAGGTTTTAAAAAAATAGGATACAGTATTGCCTACAAAAATGTACTTACAGTTAAAGTGAAATCTTCATATCTAATAGCAACATATGTTTCATGTGGTTTATTACGAAACTGTGCCTCACACCCTGCTAGCTCAGTATGTGTACCATCCGCGTCATGATCGTAGGACATTGATCCATTACCAACCATCGCAGAGATATATGGATGACCATGCTGGAAATTAAAGAGTTAAAGCAATAGTAATGTGAAATGTGCCAAAGGGTTAAGGCGATATATGCACCATTTGGAAGAGTGGTCTGTAATTTTTTTAATAGTTATTCCTGGTATAAACATATATCTATTTGGAATCAACATTCAAGTTTTCAACAGTAAGCAGGACACAGGCCATGGGGTCAAGACAGGACTTAATTTATTACATTTGCAGTACTCTGATAATTATAATTATCTGATCATAAATATCAAAATAAATCAAGATGATTTTATTTTTACAAATATTTTAGACACATGTACAGTATACAATTGTTGACCTCTCCAGAGGTCAACCGGCAAAATTGTATACCGAGACTGTAAACCGAGAAACTACTGTTGACAGAGACCGAAGGTCGAGGTCAACAGTGTTTCAAGGTTTACAGTCGAGGTATATGATTTTGACGGTTGACCGAATAGAGAGGTCTACAATTGTTTTGTTAGTCAGAAGAAACTAATAATATTATACGACAGTCATCAATCATGGCTTCATTTCACAATCTTTTCTACGAACCACGCCAGCAATAATTTTTAAGAAAATCTGAAGACAGTGGAAGCTAAACTCTCTGTTTTCGGCACACAACTGCGTACTCACCAGTAAATTAATGTTAATTTTGCGTTTCTATTTGTATTGTTGCTATACTCGTCGTGTAGAAAAGTCAAAATATCACTTTCATCAATGTGTACAAAATGTCCGACTACCATGTTTTTTCTGTAAACATTGTGACGTCATATTTCCCATAATTCACAAGTGTAGTACAGTAACATACGCGGTCAATAATATGATATCCCATGATGCACAAGTGAGGTACAGGCAAAAATGTTGACCGCTAATTGACCAATCAGATGCGAGTATTTACACTGAGGTACTAACAATAAAACCTGTCTAATCCGAACGATATTGGGACCAGCTTATAAAGCATTCAAATTGGGAGGTGTTCACATTTCGATTCTAAAGAAATGTGAACACATTCTCAGTACATTATTTATCGTTCATTTGACCACATAGCTTTATGGCATTTCAGAAATTTAAAAATTCGATAAATTATTTATTTTCAAATATAACTGTTCACTTTCAAATTGAAAGGTGTTCACGTTTCAACTTTTTTAACATGGGAGTCAATGGGAGGAAAAAATGAGACTGGAAAAAAGTGTTCAGATTGGGAGGTGTTCGAATTAGCCAGGTGTTCAGATATACAGGTTCTACTATATAGAACAAACAGGCATTAACATGACAAAATGTCACCACCCAGTTGAAGCAAGATAAATAAGACCTTTTTGACATTGAGGAGGACATTAAATGTCAAATCTATTTTGACCTTGAAAACGTCATTGGAGGTCAAATCTATAGTCAGGTTTGAACTGTTGAGAACTTGTAGACGATTTTGAAAAAAAGTCAATTTGAAGCAAGCTGAAAAAAACCTTTTTGACCTTAAAAAGGTCATTGAAGGTCAAACCTTAAGTGAGGTTTGAACTTCTGATAACTTATAGATGATTTTGAAAAAAAATTGGTCAATTTGAAGCAAGTTGAAAAAAAGACCCTTTTGACCTGAAAGGCTCATTGAAGGTCAAATCTTAAATATAGATTCAGATTTGAACTTTTGAAAACAGGTAGATGATTTTAAAAACAACTGAAGTCAGTTTATACAATATTTGTTTAATTATTAGAAGTTGTAGGAATTTGTTACAGACGCCGACCACCGATTGCCAACCGCCATCAAAAAAAACGGAGACCAAACAATATTTCACCACTTTTTGGTGTTGACATAAAAATTATCAAATATTTAAAGCTTACATTGTGTGGGCCATTATGGTTGCTATATGTGTCAAGGAGTATGCCAAGTCCCATGAAATTGTCTTTGCTCCCAAACACATTGCCTAAAACATATAAAGTAGTTCAATATAATTATCTACTACACAAGGTTAATACAAACATTTAATTTCTATGTATGAATTCTTTGGAATGAATACAGCAAGTGTACCTATTCATTCATATTCAATGAATAAAATAAAGCATATTGAAACTGAAAATGAGTGAACTTAAAATTAAATGAATATAACCTAAATAGACTCATACAATGAAATTGTTTAGCAAAATTAATTTTGATTTCAATTTCATTTATTGCTGAACCTCCGAGGGACCACTGACTGAATCAAGTAAGTTTTTATTTATTTTCTCTATTACCTTATATCAAAATTTCAATACTAGTATTCATTCAGCACATTTACAAGAAAATACTAATCACATATTAAAGATTCCAACATGCATTTACTTTACTGAGGAAAAAATAGAATCAATATATGCTAATTTAAAATATTATTTATCAAAAAATCCTCATATTAAGTGAACACTGATTGAGATGATCATATTTTATACAGCTTTAAAGGTAGAATCAGACACATAGGGAGTGATATCATAAAATTGCAAGCAACATGTAAAATTGAAGAATCAATCTTCTCTATCATTCCCAAATATATTAACTCCAAAAAGATCTGTCAGAGATCACGATAGTTGAAAAAACTTGTTAGCCATTGTGGCTAATTCTTCCAAAAATTTTTAGCCAACCAAAATATGAATTAGCCATTTTGACAAAAAAAATTAAACACTTCTAATGACTGTTTTCCTAGAATAATAATAATAGAATAAAATACTCACTCCGGTGAAGCAGCCATAGTGTAAATAGCATAGTGTGTAAAATTAATATATGTCGCGTCATGAGTGACCAGAAATCTACTTTTCCGAAAAAATTTTCTTCTGAAAAGTCGTTCAAATTCAACATTTATGAAGTTGTTTGGTGAGTAAACCGTAAAAAAGGGAATTCGCCATAACTGCGAAATACCTTAAATTACATATTTTTCGCCACCTCTTTCGAAAATTCGTGATTGGTGAATGGCGATCGTCTACCGTGATATCTGGATCTGTGATGCCTTATCAAATCAAATTCTAGAATACAGACATGAAAATAATCATGACATGCAAAAATTCTAAGAACACTTTTTTGAAAAGATGCTCATGAAATCTTGATTCCACCTTTAAGTTTGATCTTAAAATGCTATTACCTACCTAATTGACTACGTTCTTTAGTATACCATATGGCAAAGCCATCCCCAAATAAAGAAGTCCCGCCTCCATGAACTTTGAAGTGGACGTGGAGCTCCCAGTTATGAATCCAGCATTGCTAAAAACCACCAGAGGAAGAATTGAGAAATACAAGAATAGAATACTAGTAGTAGTTTTAGTCTGCTTGTTTAAGTCTATGTTAGTCTGAGGCTTTGTTCACTTATATATGAACATCAGGTTAAACTCAACTACTTATAGATATACAGGCTCATAGCCAGGATTTACTAGTGGGGTTCACTTTTTAAAAATTATACAGGGGCAGGGGGTTCACTTTTGACAACTTTGCCCCAAAAATGGCCCAAATCACTTAAAAAATGCTTAGAATGGTGAAAAACGGTGTGTTTTTGAGAGAATTTTTGGCCAGGGGGAGGTTTGCTTGGACCTCCATCTTGGCATCATGAGTTCAGCCTGGATGTATCTTTTTGCATGTAGGCATATAGTTGACTACAATTACATAATCATATCAATGAGGTGTCTCTTTTCTGCAGCCTAATACACAATGTCGACTGATGAAAAATTCAGAGAAAGACACTCCTTCCTTTACAAGTTAGGAGTTGGCTTTAACTTTTCCGAAAGTAATAAGACCACTTATTCCTATCTGTAAATGGCTACATAACATGTAAATAAAATCAATGCGAGTGGACAGAGCGCAGCTAAAATTGAAGTAAGTAGTGGCATAAATTTTTCTGGGTGAGAACCCTGTACACATATAACATTGCACCTCTTTCAGATCACGTCAAAGTCAACCGAATAGCAGGGACAGTCAAGAGATGACTTAAAATCAACTAATAGTAAACTAACTATATGTATGACTAGAATAGTACTAATACCACCTACAGTATTATACAAGTTCACAAGAAAGCATATATTTTGTAAGTATACAAGTAGTACTAATAATTGACATGAAAACCACCGCTAGGCAAATGAAGTGAGCTTTTACCCAACTGATTCCTTTCTTTTGTATACCACAATGCTATGCCATCTCCAAACAACGGACTCTTGCTGCCCATCCCAATCTTAAACTCAACAATCCATTCCCAATTGTGGTTCATACACGGCTTTATGAATAGCAATATATGGTTCAGCTTTAGATATATGAATTGCAATATAATCCAGAACATACACGGCTTTATGAATAGCAATATATGGTCCAGCTTTAGATATTTGAATTGCAATATATACCATAAAATACATGGCTTAAGACTTTAAGAGGTATGAATAGCAATACATGGAAGTTTAGAAATATGAATTGCAATATAATCCAGAAAATACATGGCTTAAGATGTATGAATAGCAATACGTGGATGTTTAGAAATATGAATTGCAATATATAGGTATCAAAATGATTGTCATTGTTTGATTTTAAAGAGATACTAAATGTGTCAATCCAAAACAAACTTCAAACGGATTATTCTGCAGCCAGCATTATAAAAGCTAACATGCCAGCCAATAATATTGTTACAACAAACTGTTTAGTTAAGATTTTCATCTATCAACATATGTTAACCACTGTGCATTAACCCTTATGTATATTTATCAATAGATAAAAAATCAAAGTAACCTGACAACCAGCAGACACAGGTTGCAAATCTGAATGCCTTAAAAATGCAACAATAAATAATTTTTAGACCCACATGTTCTGATATACAGAGACATGTACATCTTTAATTGATGAACAAAATCCCGAAAAACAACTGAAACTTTACATATTTAAGTTGGATATTCAACATACCACTGAATTCCAAAGTCCGCCTTGTTTGCTCTGATGATCCGACGTGAGGCGTATGAACTTTGACGTCACCATAGTTGATCCTACAAAGTCCCATAGAGGCATTGCTGATCCACCACCTGAAATACAATTAAAATGTAATTTATTCAAAAAAGATATTACCATACTATGAGTGCTTAACTCATGTACTGTAACATATATATTAGGCTAATTTGAAGTTATTCAATTAAGCCTTTCGTGGTTCGCTCTTAATGGTGAAGGTACGGAAATATGTACTTAAAAAGCCCTCAAAAAGGACATAATGTGATTGGTCAATATTTTCCAACGATACATTTTGCGTAGGTATTTGCGTGACCCGAAAGTTCTAAATCGAACTGATTACTGCTCAGTTGTTTGTGGGTTTTTAACGTAACTCTATAATGCAATTTGAAGATGAGTACTTTTATTCTGTTGTTGCATAAATGTTGCAGTTTGTAGTGTGGTAAGATTGGAATGAAAGTGTTGAAAGTCGATTGAAATTATTTTAGTCAACTGATCATGTGACCTTTTCTTCCGGAATATTTAAAAAATCTTTTGCGTCTCCTCTTTTGAAGAGGGAAAAATGAATACGACAATTTGGAGAATTTTCTTATTTAATTTGGTGGCTTTAGCCTTAGTTCAATTCTGGTATCATGGATTTTAATACCAGCCGTCATGTCAATTGTAAGACCCATTCTTGTTCCCCACGCCTTAGAGGCAATGAGAACATGCTTTTGTTTTTCTCCCTGAAATTGTTTGAGGGAAATCTGTAGATTACTTCCTACATGCATCTTGTCCAATAGAGAAATGCCTAATTATGTATGTACTAGTGGGACTCCACTCAAAGCCCAACCTGAGTCAACCCGGACAACTTTAGAAAGTTGCAGGAGAAAGAAACTCATAGGAAAAATATTATCTCAGTGTTAGCCCAATTTTGTTTTCAAATGCACTATTTACAATATAAATCTGACAAATAGTGATACTGCATGCTATATTTGTTGCAGTTTCATAGCTAGAAAAATAAAGTAAGAAAACATACACCAAAAAGTCTAGTGACATTCAGCATTTCCTCCAAGCTTAGTATGTACACCGTTACACATTGTTTGCATGAGGCTCAGAAATATATGTCCCTGTGAGCAATTTTGCCACCCCAAAAAGTCAGTCGGCCAGACTCATTCGAGTAAATGTTTCCATGATTGCACACAACTTACTTTTGTACATTTCTTGCTGGTGACATTGTGGATAAAGCAGTGAAGACTGAAGTTGTATCACAATATAGATTATAGTGCCACAGTGCCACGAAGTTTAGTGTGTTGTGGAGAGTCAGTCAAATATGTTAGATCGTGAAACAATGACTGGGTAGATATCATAGTATCTTCTCAACAAATCCCAATATGATATCAGTTTATTGATCCAAACCTGTTGCTGGTGCTTATTTACCCCATAAATCACCCCACAACTACTTGTGTATTGAAATCGTGGGGATTTAAAATGTTTTCAGTAGTTGACACAAAGCTAAATTTTATCTAAATAACCACTAGTCCAGCTTATTTTCAATCGCAAGATTTCAATATAGAAGTAGTTGTGGGGGTGATATGAAAATGGGGGTAGTGATTATTTAGACCATAAGTATTGAAGATTCAGTAAACCATGTAATACTCAATCAATAAACCAGAGATAAGTTTTCTATGTCTCTGAATAAACCAAGAATCAGATGAAGTGACTGTACTGATCCTACTCACTAAACTTTTGAGACTTTCGGAGAATGTTGGAGCATGGGCTTTCAAACCGTACAGTTTTAGAATCGAGCGTACCGACCGAGGCCAAAGAAGCACGGTTCACCTTAATTTTGGTTTACTGTCAAAGCCCAAGTAAAAAAAAACTCAATCAATTTCTGTGCTGAAAAAATAGATTTCTAGAAAATTCAAAAAACAAACAGCACTGTCATACTCACTTTGATATGGCTTCACTAGTGTATGCTCCCTCTTCAAAAAATCGTTTGTGTTCCATTCTCCACTAACGATCCATTTACTGAACACAAATAGGACGAAAAAAGAGAGAAAAGATACAAATTTTGCCATGATTTTGAAAAAGGATGTGGCAATCTTATGAAGACCCCATATGCTACCTTTAATGTCTCCTCTACATTGAGGAATTGTCAGAGTTAGGAGACACAAAAAGCAAATCTTGTCCCAGCATATTACTAAAGTATAGCATCAACGTTAACACTTTGATTACAACTTTAAGCCAGGCACGGTGCTAGGGTCATAGAAAACTAGAATATTCTGTAAAATATTGTAAGTCTCAGGGGTCTTCAAGGTAGTTCTCAAATGTCGTGAAATCACTGATTGATTACTTTATTTCTCGCTCAACAAATGTAGAACTTTTTTAATAGCAATAATTAAACAATAATTATTATTGCTGTGTATCTCAAGAATTTTGATATGCTTTACAAAAGACAAATTTAAGGGATGGAAAAAATATTATAAAGTAGTCGGACTTCCGGTCTCAATATTTCAAATAGGTTTTGTAAATTTCTGAAATACTTTTATCAAAAATAGCAAATTATTAGCTATATTTATCCCCAATAAAGACAGCTACTTAAACCGGAGGTAATCAGGATTAATTCTATGAAATGTTAAAGTAAAATACACTGTATTTTACAAGGATTAGGCAATTATATTTTGAAATCTTTCATAGCCAATTATCCGGGCACTTGTCCTCTACACCGGCAAGTGAAGGTCATTCAAGGGGGTCGAATATTCATTGTAAGTTTTGTGTTTATTCAAAATATTCCAGATACTCAAGCAAACTACCAAGATGTCAAGCTACACAGTTGTTATGATAAGACATGGAGAGAGTACTTACAACAAGGAGAACAGATTCTGTGGGTGGCATGATGCAGATCTTTCAGAAAAGGGCGTAGAAGAAGCAAAGATTGCAGGGAAGGTAAGTGAATATTTCCATTTGATTTAGGCTCGAGCCAAATTCAGATTCTTATACAGCTGAAATCAAACTGAAATGGACCATGGTTGCAATCACATGCACAGGAACTGATATTATCTACAGTGTAATTCCACGACTTATAGTCCTACGCTCCAATGATTGTTCAGGCAGTGTTTCTTCAACATTGGAGAAAGTACTATATATTGCACAATTAAAATACCTACCTCGATACATTCCCGAGTATTTTAGGATTCTTTATATGCAGTTGAATCACCAATTGTATGGGTTTATCGACAGAACAAACAAAGAGATTTTAGATTTACATCGGAAATATATCAGCATTTTCAAGATGTCTAAAGGGGACAAGCTGTCAATTACTGTATATAAAACCATAAATGATTATGCTGTCTTTGTCACAGGTTCTGATTTCCTACATGGTTGGCACTAGAGTAGACTTAATGTTGAAATTGTAAAAAGCACACATTATTGAGGCTACTTGGGGACCAGTACACAAAACAACTTTCAAAAATTAATGCATTTTCTTTCTTAGTTTATTCATTTGGTATACACATGCAAATTTGGCATATACACCTTTGACTTACCAGGCCCGTAGCCAGAATTTTCCAAGGGGGGGGGGTTCACTTTTCCACTCAAAAAATAGTCAGAATGGTGAAAAACTGCATGATTTTGAAAGAAATCTTAGCTAGGGGGGGTTGCATTTACACTATACATGTACTCCTAAGAGCGTTTTACCTAAAACAAGTTGAAGTTCTCTGTGAAACTGTATGAATGATATCAATGTCATTAGAATGTTAATGAACAGTTTCTCAAGACGTCTTGACTGAAACATCATGCAAAACATTTGGGGACCCCAAGTAGTCATATTGGGACTTCTTAAAACTTAAGACGTCCTATTAGGAAAGTGTAAATCCATTGGTTTTCGCCAAGACATCTTACCTCAGTTTTATATATTGCACTTAATGAAATTTATTAAATTTTAGCTCACAGGCTCTCCTTCCCAGTATTATATCGAAAATCCCAAGGAAAGGATCATCTTCATCAGTGATCATCCTTGCTACATGTTTCCTTGTTTTTTCAGACTTTAAAAGAAAAGGGCTTCAAGTTTGACATTGCATTCACTAGCGTACTGAAGCGTGCCATAAAAACTCTTAACTTGACTCTGGAAGAGCTAGACCTTGACTGGATACCTGTTGTGAAACATTGGAGGCTCAACGAGCGCATGTATGGAGGCCTACAAGATCTGAACAAGTCAGAAACTGCAACCAAACATGGTGAAGAACAAGTCAAGGTAAGAAAACTGTTATCATTTATTAATGCATGTGTTGTCAAAGTAAATTGATATTAACTCCATATGTACATGATTTAGGTTGTGGACCTTAAGAAAGGGATGTGAAATCCGCGAAGGCCAAGTCTGTTTGTTGATTTTTCAATCCTAATTTAGAGTGAAATGATGTCCAAATGTTAAAGCATTTCAGAAAAGCTTAATTCACCTTTCCAGATCTGGAGGAGATCCTATGCAATTCCACCACCTTCCTTAGAGGTATCTGATCCCCGATGGCCAGGTCATGATGCAAGATACGCTGTAAGTAAATTTGTTTCTCAGGCCACTTTATTGAGTGAGACACCTCAAGGGCAAGACTGCCAGGATCTAAGGCAAAATTGATAGATGGAGGCAAGATTAGTCTAAAGGATTGACATTATTACCTTTAGACTTCATCGAGTTTTAGTTGAAAAAAATGTGTGAAAATGTAAAATTTGGTGAGGCAGTGAGGCAATTGCCTCGTCTGTCTGTAGGAAGAACTGTTCTTTGAAAGAGACCTGTACTGGTTTTTACAGGTGATGTGTGTACAGCCAAGTCAGATAACATCAAGTTAATTGTATTGTACTTGTATTGTATCTAAAATTATTTTTCAAATGGCCTTTTTACGTCACCACCGAGAGGTTGTAGCCACTATTTATTTGACCGTCATTCAATGTAGGTGTCAGTGTGGATGTCATAACAAATGGTGTCAGGTTGTGACATTTTGTACCATCATGAACTGTAAGTGCCTTGTATATCTTACACCGTGTTTGATTGGAGAGACTGCAGAGTTTATTGATCATATCATATACATAGTATATATGTACATTCCAGGACCTAGACAAGAATGTTATCCCAAGAGCTGAGTGCCTCAAGGACACCGTAGAGCGTGCACTACCATTCTGGTATGATCAGATCGTCCCTGCCATCAAAAATGGCAAGAGAGTAATCATATCTGCTCATGGTAACAGCCTCAGAGCCATGGTGAAGTACTTAGATGATATATCTGATGATGAAATTGTGGGCAAGAATATACCAACAGGTATGTGCTTGGGTTCACTTTGTTGTTTATCTTTGATTTAGTTCATTATTGTGGAGATGATTTATGAACATGTATTGCCTTTATGTCACCACCATAATCGTTGGTGACATATTGTTATAGTCTCCAATTGATGATTTGCGATCACCGAATGGATTTTATCTTTTAGTGACGTCACAATTAGGCCACCCAGCTTTAGATGCTTGATTTTGAGAGATTATCTTCTATATTTTGTGCTTTATTGATTTATTTTTCACGAAAGCGTTCGATTTGACTAGATCAACATTCATGCTAAGCACATACCAAGTCTAAGATCTTACTGACATGATTTAGATAGTGGTGAAGCGCCCCCCGATTTTGACAAAAACGGGGGGCGCTTATAGGCATCGATGTTTAGTATGAATTTCACCCAAACTTCGCACATATATAGATATACTCATGATCTAGTCAAATCGGCATACCTAGTAAATATGCGACCCATGGTTTTCATAAAAGAAAAGACAATGTTTTTAGCTCAAAACTGCAACGTGTCCGCCATTTCGTGATTCCATCATGTCTAATATCATTTCTATATGACGTCATACCAATAAGACGAAATACGTGACAACAGTATCCATCAACAAAATTCCTGAAATCTGATCGCAAAAGGTCAATTAGATGGTGGTCAGTGTTTGGCAGTCTGCAGTTGGGATTCAACGTCTGTAACAAATGGCAGGTGGTGACATTTTGCATGTTAATGCCTTGTTTGCGTTTAGTGATGATAATGCTTTTATTGATTTTTTAAAAACATTTTGGAATTCAAAATTAGTCTTAATACAGGCTTCAGCATGAAAGCTTTTACACATTTTTCTTGCTTCGGTAACATTATGTACAGTTAATGTATATGTATGTTTACAATATTTTGCTTTTGAAATATGCTTGTGACAAAAATTAGGTAAATTAGTCATTTGTTAAAATACATTCAACTTCAGATGAAGATGGCTCCCTTTTAAATGGTGAGATATAACATAATGAAGAATTCATCTTTCTTTAAAAATTCCCACGAGTGACATGTAATAAGCATACATTACTTCTGCATAGTTTAAGAGTACTAGTGAATGAAGCAAGCACGAAAAATTAACAAAGCAGATCTGATTGATTGATAATCCTTTAGGACATCTATGCTTATGCGGTATCTCTTCAAAAAAATGTAGTTAGCAATTAGCATTGCTTGTGTTTAAAAAATTACAAAATTCTAACACATTCTGCTAGGCTTGCTAATGATGGCTATGACATAAGATTGAGTCCAAGTCTTAAAATATACCTTCATTAATAAAGTGCACATCTTTTCTAATTGGCTTACCAAGTGACTGATAATCATTGGAATATCCATACTCAAATTCTGGGTGGATAATTATGACCAATTTCCTCATAGAAATGAACAAATCTTGTTAATCTGTATATTACATATCACCAAATAATGACTAAATAGACCCATTGAAACAATTATATGAAAATCATGTCTGTTCCATGGCTGGGAAAAGCATGAATATCTAAGCACAAGTGCCAAAGGAAGAGGACCAAAAACTAAAGGAACCTAGCTTGAAAAGAAAAATAGACCCTATATATCCCATAACCATGATCTAACGTGAAAAGAAATAATGTCTAACATCCCCCTTCCCCCCACCAATCGAGAGCCAATATCACAATCCAGGACCAGAGCGTCAAGGGTCATTTCAACACAATTTGAAAAAATTATTGAAAAAATTAATAGCCAATACACAAATATAGAACATAAAACTGCCAAAGAAAGAATGTTCTGTATTACAAGTTAAAAATATTTCCTGAAAATATGAAACTCAAGATTGGTCAAAGTTGTTCAAAAAATTAAATGAAGATGCACTAAACAGTTGGTATCTTGAGAATACAGCAAGATTGGCAGTAACTTCATACACAATGTTCTGTTTCATTCAAGTATTACTTGATAAGTGGTGGTGGGAGTTAATGGGCTATTACTGTACTTCTACTTAATTTGGTGGCCATTTTGATTTGGCGGATCCACCAAATTGTTTAAGTCCACCACATTAAGTAGCCGCCAAATTCAATATTTCAAATTTCAATTGAAAATGTGTATGGTATATACATTTCAATATTGTAAGTCCACCAAATTAAGTAGCCGCCAAATCTTCAAAAAATAAAAATAAGCTGCACCATATTAAGTAGAAGTACAGTATATTGTTTGTGAAAATGAACAATATGTTGTCACTAGCCATATTTATGGCAGGGGGTGCACCAGCTATTTGATGTACATTTAATATATAAGATCAATCATCCATAAACAATTTTCTTCTTGGTTACTGTACTTTTTTTTTTTCACCACCAGAAGTGGTGACAATATTGATATATCATAGTCTCCAACTTTTTTATTATGACTGATGTTCAGCATCTGTAACAAAGGATCTGCACCCCAAGTGTCACTATAAATTAGGTATAAATTCAATGTATGAATATGTGTTAAATTCCTTTTAAATAATAAAGGTTATAGTGTTATCTCACTGACTCCATACTAATTTTGAAATCAAATCAACCTAAGAACATGTTTCAGGCAATTCCAAGAGCGACCCATTTCTCTGCAAAAATTGTGTGGTTTTCTCTTGATAATCATTTTTCTGAGATAGAAGAATATATTCACATTCAATTTTCTAACAATATCAAGATTGATTCATGCCTTATAGTTTAGGGGCACTCTCATCTCATATTGATTGGATGTAATCAAATGTGACCTGCTTTTTTATGCCATGCTGTGTGTTTTTCACTTCCTTGCTGTATCGAGTTGGCTTACATATTGAATATTGATATATGATGATATCCCCATGTTGAGTCAATGGAACCAAAGAAATAAAAAACAAAATTGTGAAATTTGAAAGTTTGACCTACTTTCAAAAGTCAAAGGTTGAGGTCAAAATTGTTCTTAACAACATTCTTTATTATATTTTCACATTTTAGGTCTTATAAATGATGATTTTGCACACAAGAATGTTTGATTTTCAGATGTGCACCGACTTGACCTTTACAAGGTCACAATGACCTCAATAATACTTAGGACGCACCTGAACACTATGCCATAATTAACTCCTTACTAAATACCATATTTTATGCCATAATGGTTATGGATGCTCTCGGGACACTTTTTATCGCACTTTGAAAAAGTGCTATATTGTCGTCGTCTTGTGCTGTTGGGCGGGCGGGCGGGCGGCACATAAACCAAATCTTGTCATCAAATTTCCAGGATAACTGCTTACCTGTTCAACTTGAAATTTTTACAGATGCAAGAGCAGACTAGTACCAAGATCTGATTAGGTTAAGGGCATGCTGGGTAAACTACGTGGCGGCCATTTTGAATTTTTCAACAAATCTTGTCATCAAAATTCCAGGAAAACCACTTATCCGTTCAACTTGAAATTTTTACAGATGCAAGAGCAGACTATTGCCAAGATCTGATTAGGTTTTGGGTGTGCTGGCTGAATAACGTGGTGGCCATTTTGAATTATTCAATTTGGCGGCCATTTTGAATTTTTCAACTTGCTCCAAATTGACCAAATTTTTTTTTTAAAAACATCTACAAGCTCTCAGAAGTTCAAAGCTGACCTTAGATTTCAGATTTGACCTTTCGTTGACCTTCAGTGACCTTGAAAAGGTCAAAAAAGTTGATTTTCTAAATTGATATTTTGGATTTAAATTTAGTTCAGCTTAATTACAAAACACCTACTGAGGTCTGAAAAAGTGAAATTTTCAAGGTCAAAGGTCAAGGTCATTAAACTAGGTCACAAATGATGTTATCCAAGTTTCTCAAAGTTTGAGACTACAAATCAATTCTTGTCATCAAAATTCCAAGAAAACCGCTAACCTGTTCAACTTGAAATTTTTACACATGCAATAGCAGACTAGTGCCAAGATCTGATCAGGTTTAGGGCATGCTGGGTAAACTACGTGGTGGCCATTTTGTTTTTTCAACAAATCTTGTCATCAAAATTCCAGGAAAACCACTTATCCGTTCAACTTGAAATTTTTACAGATGCAAGAGCAGACTATTGCCAAGATCTGATTAGGTTTTGGGTATGCTGGCTGAATTACATGGTGGCCATTTTGAATTTTTCAATTTGGCGGCCATTTTGAATTTTTCAACTTGCTCCAAATTGACCAATTTTTTTTTTAAAAACATCTACAAGTTCTCAGAAGTTCAAAGCTGACCTTAGATTTCAGATTTGACCTTTCGTTGACCTTCAGTGACCTTGAAAAGGTCAAAAAAGTTGATTTTCTAAATTGATATTTTGGATTTAAATTTAGGTCAGCTTAATTACAAAACACCTACTGAGGTCTGAAAAAGTGAAATTTTCAAGGTTGAAGGTCATCAAATTAGGTCACAAACAATGTTATCTAAATTTTCCCAAAGTCCAAGACTACAAATAAATTCTTGTCATCAAAATTGCAGGAAAACCGCTAACCTTGTCAACTTGAAATGTTAACAGATGCAAGAGCAGACTAGTGCCAAGGTCAGATTAGGTTTTTGCCATGCTGGGTAAATTGCATGGTGGCCAGTTTGCTCTTCAAAGTGTGATATTTATCACAGTGTGTCCTGTTTTATATACTTGGGGTGACGGATCCTTTGCATTTTTAACAAGTTTTGACCTTCAAAAGGTCAAAAAAATTTGATTTTTGTTTTTGGCAGACAGGGACAATATCAGTGTATATTGTTATACTTCTGTAATCATTTGCAGGTGGAAACATTTTGTCTGTTAATGCCCATGATGCCTTGTTCCTTTGTGACATCCTAGCATTACCTCATGGCATCAAATTCTACATGGGACTTTTAAATGTCTGTGTGCATGTATATGACATTTCACTACATTACTTGGTATTTTTTATGCTTGCAGGTATTCCACTTGTGTATGAGCTTAATGGTGATCTCAAGCCAATCAAAAGCTACTACCTGGCTGATGAAGCTGCTGTCAAAGCCGCCATGGACAAGGTCGCCTCTCAAGGCAAAGCCAAATAGATGGCTCTTACAGCATTGATAAACAATAGTGTGATGTGACCCTCCCAACGTTGATAAGCATGAGCATTATGGAACGTTTAACAGCTTGGTTTTAGTTATGGTATTTTGGATTTCAAGTTGACTGGACAATCAAAGTTGTGGCCAATTCTGACTATAACAATGCACAGTTTAATGCACATATGTTCACGTATACATATTACAATTCATGTGTTACACCCATGCTCATGTCTGCTAGAATCCCATCTGCACATCGAAATACTAAAACACCAAATGACAGACTGTTCGATAACTCGACTATCTTTGCCAAATTTTCAATGCCATACTTGTTTACCTGTATAGTGTAATAAAAGTACATATGTATAGAAATGGGATTATGTTCAAACACATACCAAGAGGTGATACATCTATACAAAAAATATGGAGTAGTAGTAGCTGATAGTCTGAATATGGTAGATAATGTCTGCATGTACATAATATAATATCATCAATGATATCATTTTTGGAGGATTTCCAATCCTGCTTAAAGAAACCTTGTCTAGAGATTGTAGAATAAGTACATAATTTCAGACTATAAAATAGTTGCAAGCTATAATCCGAACAAAACATTTCAGTGTATTTTGTAAGCATTTATTCATGTTATTACAATATTATTTATTTGTTTTATTCACATGATATGATCTGATATTGTCATTAGGATTTAATAAACATGAGGATTTCTGCAAACTTATTGTTCAGAAATTCAGCTAAAATGACACTAATTATTTTCTTTGTATGTTTTTACTGGGGCAACTTCTCCCTGAATTTGTTTGTTTGAAACATTTAGAGGATGTGCAAATGGCTATACTCAGAAGAAATGAGTAGCTCCCATATTTATTTTGTATTGAAAAGAACATAATTTATTTAAATCACGCCCATCAGTATATGAAGTCCAATCAAATTGCAGTATATGATCATGTGGACAATCATGAGCATGTGTTCCCTCAGATCCGCACATACGCAAAGTAAAATTTGAAATCTTGGAAATGGCGTATTTCAGTTTAACATCAGTTCAACATCATCATTTCAAAACTATGGTAATACTATTTAAGTTACTCGATCCAAACTTGTAGAGTATACTCATAAAAGAACAGCAAACATTCTGAGATCAATTTCAATGGCAAATGAGGCCTGTGTATAAAATTGGTTATCAAACGCCCATCTTTGGGAAATCTCCTAGCCGCCTGGCTATACTGCAGTATAATTGGAGTTTCAACTGTTTTCCTGATCCTTCTCTTGTATAATAACTACAGTGTTCCATGCCCCTGCAAATATCTGGCAAACCATGTGCTCATTAAAGAATTCAACTTTAGTTGGACAATATCGTGTATTTCTATCTCCATGTCCAAGCTGACCATGCTGGTTCCAACCCCACGTATAAACATCTCCCAAGTCAGTCAATCCTACTGTATGCCTACTACCACATGCTACTGTCACAAAGTTTATTTCCTCATTGGTCTCTATCAATGTTGGTGTGGGCTGTAGGTTTATATGAGTTTCTCCACTGTTCTGGGTCATACTGAAGCCTAGTCCTAATTGCCCAGTTTCATTCCATCCCCAGACATAAAGGTCCCCTATGTCTGAAAATGTATGTACAAAAGAATCAAATCATGATAAGAATTCTACAACCTATACAATTTTCGTATGTGACATTTTACACTTCATACTACATCACTTGACCCAAATTGCAAGTGACATTCTACATTGCACACCAATTGCAGGTGACATTCTACACTTTACACCAATTGCAGGTGACATTCTACACTTTACACCAATTGCAGGTGACATTCTACACTGCAAACCAAATGCAAGTGACATTCTACATGGCACACCAATTGCTGGTGACATTCTTCACTATACATCAATTACAGGTGACATTCTACACTATACATCAATTGCAAGTGACATTCTACACTGCACACCAATTCCAGATGACATTCTATACTGCACACTAATTGCAAGTGACATTCTACACTGTACACTAATTGCAAGTGACATTCTACATTGCACACCAATTGCAGGTGACATTCTACACTGCACACCAATTGCAAGTGACATTATATATTGTACAACAATTGCAATTGACATTCTATATTGCACACCAACTGCAATTGACATTCTACATTGCACACCAATTGCAACTGACATTTAATTCTATATTGTACAATTGCAATTGACATTCTATATGGCACACCAATTGCAATTGACATTCTACATTGCACACCAATTGCAGGTGACATTCTACATTGCACACCACTGCAAGTTACATTTTACATTGTACACCAATTGCAAGTGACATTCTACATTGTACACCAATTGCAACTGACATTCTACACTGCACACCAATTCCAGGTGACATTCTACACTAAACACAAATTGCAGGTAACATTCTACACTAAACACCATTTGAAGGTGACAATCTACATTGCACACCAATTGCAAATGACATTCTAAAACTGCACACCAATTGCAACTGATTTTTACCTAGCACTGCACTTGCTAAGAGACCAAAATTAATTAATTACCTGAAGGGTTTTAAACAAGTAAATCAATCTGATGAGCAGTGATTTAATACTATTGAATCAATATGTGAACACTTACCACTCACAGCTACAGTATGCCAGCCACCAGCCTGCACATCAGTGATGACCACTCCACATAGAGACTCTACCACAATGGGGGACTCAACAACACCCACATCAACCTTGCAATTTCCAAGTTGACCACAGCTTCAAATTAAGTAAACTACATGTAAATCAGATAACTATTACATATACCATGGCCATCATGGCTTTTTCCAATCAAATAAATAAAATGCCAAAATGTCACCACTTATAATTGGTTAAAAAGTGTAACAATTGTCACACAAATTGTTAAACAGCTATATCATGTCAACAGACTCACCGAATCAAGCTTCATACGATTGACATCAGGTTTTCAAGGTCAGCACACTGACACGGGATTATTTGAATTTGAGCACGCTTAGATGACATGTGTATGGGGGAAATTCTAGCTGGGTTCCTTAAATCTGTTATGCTTTATACATAGTAGAACCTGTTTATCTGAACACTTGGTGTTCGGATTAGACAGGTTTTACTGTATTATACTGGATGGATGTTTTTGAAAGAGTGTGGCTTCAATTTCCATATATCACCCCCTGATATGCAAATGGTCAACATACATGAACAGTTATTCTTCAAATAATTTACCTATTGGACCCAAAGGTCAGTACATCTCCAAACTTTGATAGCATCACTGTGTGTTCTTTACCACATGAAACCTGCTTAATAGGTAAACTGCATGAGATAGGTGAAGCTATATAACTGCATTGTGGGAAACATCCACCTCCTTCGTCCTCTCTTTGACTAGACAGTTTACATACTGTTCCATTAGCTGTAATCAAAAATATAACCCTAGCTATCTTTACTTCTTTACTATAAATTTAAAATAACATTTTATAAGATTATCAAAATATGTTAAATCAAAAATTTTGGCTGTCATATTTTCTTGAGGGAACGATAAAATTGTTGATACATGTAGATTTATGTCCAACACTACATCACCATATTTTGTTAAATAATATTCTCATTTATTTCTTGCACCAGATGCAATCACAGGATCATTATTTATAAGTTGTCAGTCAAAGCCAAATAAGAGAAATCTACAGGAATATTCATGGGGTTTACCTTTACATAATATTGCACATGTATCTGTTGATGCTATATTGGTGATGCGATGTAATTCATCATTGGTTATAGTGTTGTCCTTATCATCAGATATCTCTATGGGTAAATTTACTTTGTTCAGATCTCCATTATGTTGAACAAAACACTCTGTATTTGTATTAACGTCAGTGTATATAATGTCATCAACAATTTGCTCAACCAATGATATATTTTTTGTCTTGATGGGAACACAAAGTCCAAATGATTGCACTGTGCCATTTACTGAAAAGAAAGACAATAATTGGTTTAATTAAGTATTGGTGAATTTGCCATTTTTAGATCATTTTTGAGATGAAATACATCTAGGGTATCAATGGCAAACTCATTCTTGTAAAGCTCTTCAATTACTAAAAACTTCTGCTTCAAATTTTTCATCCGGGATTTTTCACAAATGTAGGATTATCATCTATACAATTCATATCAATTTGCCTAAAACTGAATTCAACAAGGATGCATTTTCAGAAAAAGTCCTAATACATCCATGCCTTCGTGCTTAGTTTTGAACCTGGAAATAACTTAGCCGAGTATAGGAATTTTCAACCACATAAATTCTGACAAGATTCCCTAAATGACTAGTAACCGAAACCTTGAAAACATAACAATCACTTCTTGGACCATCAGTAAAGGAGTGTGTAATTCAGTAATTTATAAATGAGATTGCCTTTACAGATCCTGGAGGTCATCAACAGTACGAATTTGTAATTTTTATAACCATGGATATAACTACATCACAGTTAGTGAACAATGGACTTTACGATTTTTTAACTTTATTAAGTTTCTATAATTGACCCCCTGGATAGCCAGTTGCTACAACTGGCTAGCCTCTTTAGCTAAAGCGGTAGAGCATCAGTCTTGTGAGCGTAAGGCACTGGTTCAATCCTGCATGGGGCATTGAATTTAGCACACTCCCTTTCAGGTCTAGTATCTGGCTTGTACACTACAGCTCCCAAGACGATACTGTACATATACAGGCCAAAAAATGTCGAACTATAGGATATAGTCTATGCACTAGCGGCTAAGTATCAGAAAACCAAGAAGACTTACCTTTGCCCAATCTGTGAAATACAGGCCGACCGTGGAAAACAAGCATCTCTAGACCAATTTGTGGCATTATAATGCATAGAAGGATACAAACAAACCACAGGAACCTGTATCAACACCTGACAGTGACATCTATTGGTGACCAAACCCCGAAATAACCCTTTAATCTATGCTCCAGCTTTTGCCAGAAACTTACTTGACGTCCATGCCTTTATCGAGATATATTCCCAGGGTTCTGTCACCAATAGATGTCACTGTAAGGTGTTGATACAGGTTCCCGTGAAACAAACAAACAAAAGAGCACCCGTGGTTTTGAACAGAAACTTACCTTTTCTCAATATGATATTATGCCAGGATACTGATACATCGTTAACATATAATGTTGTAGAAATTCTGATATTTTTTGAATCTGATCTTTCAGTTTCAGTTTCAGCTTCATTTTTCTTTTTTTGAGTTTTTACAAATTTACATTTGCAGTCAGATTTCAGTACACATGGAACAACAACTATATCCTTCTCAAAAGATCCGCTGGATTTTTCATCTATTTGATTAAATATATTACTACCGAACCCATATACAGTGTGCATCATGCATAAAACAAACTAAAATAAATAACTTAAAACCTTTTTACAACCGGAAGTTTACAATTTCATCAACGTCATGACAAGAAATTTACGACGGTAATTAAAAACATTGTGTCAAAATTTTACAGTTTGATGAATACTTTCATATGATAAAAAATCGCTAAGAATATGTAAATCAATATGGACATATTCAACCAAAATATTTGCGTTGAACTTTAAATTTACAGAAGTACACTTTATGTACCCATCAATGTCATGGTGGCGGGAAGTTTAAAAGTTTCAAAAGTTGTTTTGTCCCAGATTTTCTCAAGTATGTCAACTAATCGCCATTTCTAGCTGTCATATCAAGCACATAATCAGAGTAGGACTGCCATTTGAAGCACATTGCCTGAATTGTCATGTCAAGCTTTTTTCTAGAGTAAGATTGATAGCCATAATAAGGACTATTGGCAGATGGGAACTGTCTGTGCAGAAATATAATTAAAAGCACATTGACATTGGTCTAACGTATCAAGCACCTTGCCAGAACAATCATATCATGTCAAATATATTTTCCAAATGAAAAATGTCATGCCAAGCATGTTAACATGGACATCAATATCATGTCAAGCACATTGCAAGATTAGGACTGTCATGTCATACTCGAGTCTCTAGCTAGACTTTGGACCTAAGTCATGTCAAGCATTTTGCCAGAACAGGAGTATCATGTCAACCACACTGCAAAATTAGTATGGTCATGTCAAGCACATCGCCATCACATGACTGTCATGTCAAGCATATTGGTAGAACAGGATTTTCATGTCAAGCAAATTGCCAGAATAGGACTACCATGTCAAGTATATTGCCAAAATGAATATTGCCATAATGAAAATATCAATCTCCAAAAAACATTGTTAGGGACCACATCTCATTGTAAAATCTGTTTACACAGGGTCCTTGCCTATGGTTTTTCAGAGTAGAATCAAAATCTTGTAATTCCAGAGACCCTACTAGGAAGAAAACATATTTAACTTTAATGAGAAATCCTATGGAGAGAGTATATTCATGGTGAAACATGTGATTGGCTAATTAAGAATGGCATCATAGATGGCATGGTTTACAGGACTTACCCCCATATATGTGGGCTCGGTTTGCTTTTTTAAAATTTTTGACGTTGATAAGGCAAACTTAGCACTATTAATGTCAAAAATAGGAAAAAGGAAAAACTCCCCCACATTCATGGGGGTAACTGGATTGGTCTATTTGTTAGTTCAACCTCAAGGAGGATTGGCTCCAAGGGATGCAACTCAACTCAATATTTTCCAACAATGAATGAGAACATCAGCAGAATGTTGTCATTTTCTGAAATTATAACTGACTATAAATTCATAATCAACATTTCAAAATATTCAAATCAATATCTCGATCACTTCTTGTGCGTTTTGGAATTTTTTGTTTGGAAACAAGACCAAAACGCACAATTCAAATTTTGAAGTGTACAAAATGGTTTCCCTTTGCATTTGAAATTTTGATCACGACATCTCAATATATGGCAGAATATCAATTTGGAAGCCTGGGATCCAATCCTCCTTGAGCAACCTCTAGATTTTTGGGCAGGGACTTGCTGGAATGATAAAACAATGTTACAGATAACAAAATAGTGGCCTTTTGAATTTAAATTTTGTAATCACATCTCAATATATGGCAGAGTATCGAGTTGGAAGCCTGGGATCCAATCCTCCTTGAGCAACCTCTAGATTTTTGGGCAGGGACTTGCAAGAATGATAAAACAATGTTACAGATAACAAAATCCTCATAATTCATTTATAATATGCATTTATTACAATTTTGACAATAATTCAATAGTGATACTGCAATATCTTGGAAATTATGGAAAAAAATGAGTTACATGTACAAAACTTTATACAATAAGCCCACTACATTCTGTACAACTACATAATAAAAATGTAAAACAATTTGTGACCTGATTTGCCCTTATATACAGAGTTCAGCTATACATATGTTTACATAGAAAGTACATTGTAAAAAACTGATTCCTCACAAATGTTTTTATAATAAACTGATTTGTTGAATATTAAAGCCAGAACTGTAGGGTCAATTCATGAAGTGCATTTACTTATGTATATTGAATTCAATGTTGGCTTGTAACCATCAATCCAGAGATGAATACTTTATGTGGGGAACCTAACACTTTACCAATGTATGCAGTCTCTTGCATAGTGCCATGTGTCCCATCTACATATTTATTTGACATATTTTGATAATCCCTAAGCAAAACATCTTTGCTACTATGACTGTATATTTTGAGCATTATTGTTCAGATTGTGCTATTTCCGTCCTCTTCGTTTCATCGCAGCAGTGCATTGTGGGCAATACCATTTTCCTTTTGGAGCTTGTGTTAGACCGACACATGGATAATGGAACCATTCTATTGTACACTGAAAAAGAGTAATAAAACAATCAGGTATGCAAAGTTAACAATAAATTATATTAGACTAGAATACATGTACATCCTTGACTTGACATTTAAAATCTGTTGACCAGTATCTGAGTTATCACCGACATGGATGTACAGAGATATATATACATTTTCGGTGAGATAATGATATTTCTTAATAGAGCACTCCATTCTTTATGATTTTAATTTCTGAAGCCTCAAATATATTGTATGCAAAAGTAACACCTACATCATCGTTATCGCAGCCAACCATGTCACCATATGATACTTGATTACAGATACAGTATCGAGGCTCATTCGGGTCATACTGCCAGTCTCCTGAGTTGCTAGTGTCCTCTGTCAACAGCTGGCCTTCTGCGAGATCAGCAAGAGCTGGTGATGCTGTTGCTGATGCAGGGGTAGTAGGTGGAGCCACCTGTGGAGTAGTTGATGGGGCGGAGGTTGCTGGTGTCGTGCTATGTGAAGCTTTACTTTCTGCTGCTGCCAAGGCACGTGCAGTTTGTCTGCAAGAGAATATTTTTCATTTTCTAAAAATTTTGAAAGTTCTTTCAAATGGCAGATTGTTCATATAATATGTTGGTTTTGGAAGAAAATCAGGTGTCACAATACATGAATATTTGGCTTCTTGAAAACTAGTGTTCTTATAAATAGTCCCCTACTGAATCTATTTTTTATTCAAACATGACCGTGCTCTATTCGAATTTCTCAACCAATCAGAATGCAGCATAGCCAATATAGAACGTTCTCCAATTCTCCATAGATGCACGACCATGCTCTATTCAATCTGCAATTTGCATTGTTTTGAGTGACGTCACATCTCAGCTGCACATCTGGGGCTCTGTCCGGGGATAGCTGTTCTTTTTTACTCCCTCCGTAACTACTGTAACTATTTTACTATGGCTGACGTCAAGTTTGCAGTCGGTGAACTAGTCTTAATTAAACGGGGAGTAAAATAGAACAGCCCAAACAAATTCTAAAATTTTTCCGGCCGACTTCAGAATCTTGACAGCATGCGTATTCTTCCTCCATGCCCGTTCCACAGACACGGCTTTTACTAATTTTTATGTTTGAATCGGAATAAATAATGATAGGCCATTCAATATGGTGAAATTCAGCACTCGTTGGACAGAATGTTAGTACAAATGCACTCACCTTCGGTTCGTGCTTTGTACAACATTCTGTCCAACTTGTGCTGAATTTCACCATATTGAATGGCCTATCATTATTTATTCCTTAATTAATACATGTTTCATTGAAAATAGCAAAATAAGTAATTCTATACTAGCTCAAGGTGTTTAGGAAATTGTCATGCTGAACACACTTGCAAATTATTCAAACATGACCGTGCTCTATTCGAATTTCTCAACCAATCAGAATGCAGCATAGCCAATATAGAACGTTCTCTAATTCTCCATAGATGCACGACCATGCTCTATTCAATCTGCAATTTGCATTGTTTTGAGTGACGTCACATCTCAGCTGCACATCTGGGGCTCTGTCCGGGGATAGCTGTTCTTTTTTACTCCCTCCGTAACTACTGTAACTATTTTACTATGGCTGACTTCAAGTTTGCAGTCGGTGAATTAGTCTTAATTAAAAGGGGAGTAAAATAGAACAGCCCAAACAAATTCTAAAATTTTTCCGGCCGACTTCAGAATCTTGACAGCATGCGTATTCTTCCTTCATGCCCGTTCCACAGACACGGCTTTTACTAATTTTTATGTTTGAATCGGAATAAATGAATGACACCATATTAAATGGCCTATCATTATTTATTCCTTAAACAATACTCTCCCAAGCAATAGCTTCCATCACAATTATAAAAAATTAGTACCGTGGGTACTGGGCTCACATGGTGACAGAAAAAAAACAGATATAATTTTTTGCTGATTTTTTGTAACACTATTTTGGACTGACTGAGAGACAGATGGACAAATCGATGTTAAGTAAAATGGCTGGAAAAAAAACGGATATAATTTTTTGCCAATTATTTGTAACAAAAATTATTTCATACAACTACTCTTTACAGTGACATGGCTTTTTGCAATGCAAGACACCTGAAATTATTTGATAATGGGCAAAAATTGAATTTCGCGAGACAAAAATGTTGACCATTTTGAAATCAGGCAAGCTTTTGAACCAGGAGTCATAGGGGAGTTTTTTGTATTGATGTTGAACAAAAATAACTTGAAACTGGAATCCTATCGACAGAGGTTTTAAGCAAATGGTCCAAAAGAGGATTTCGCGAGACAGATGGACAAATCAATGTTAACTAAGGCTGAAAATAAAAAAAACGGATATAATATTTTGCCGATTTTTTGTAACAAAATTATTTCATACAACTACTCTTTACAGTGACATGGCTTTTTACAATGCAGGACAGCTGAAATTATTTGTAAAGCTAGGAAATGGGCAAAAAGTGAATTTCGCAAAACAAGAATGGCGACCATTTTGAAAATAGGCGAGCTTTTGAACCAAGAGTCATAGGAGAGTTTTTGGTATTGATGTTGAACAAAATTAACTTAAAACGGGAATCCTATCGACAGAGGGTTTTAAAGGTAAATGGTCCAAAAGTGGATTTTGCGAGACAGATAGACAAATCAATGTTAACTAAAATGGCTGAAAATAAAAAAATGGATATAATTTTTCGCTGATTTTTTGTAACAAAATTATTTCATATATCTACCCTTTACATTGACATGGATTTTTACAATGTAGGACACCAGAAATTATTTGTAAAGCTAGGAAATGGGTCAAAAGTGAATTTCGCGAGACAAAAGTGGTGGCCATTTTGAAAATAGGCGAGCTTTTGAACCAGGAGTCATAGGGGAGTTTTCTGTATTGATGTTGAACAGAAATAACTTAAAACAGGAATCCTATCGACAAAGGTTTTAAAACGTGCCACTGTTATTGACGGAAAGTGGATTTCGTGAGTCAGATAGACAAATCAATGTTAACTAAAATGGCTGAAAATAAAAAAATGGATATAATTTTTCCCTGATTTTTTGTAACAAATTATTTCATATATCTACCCTTTACATTGACATGGATTTTTACAATGTAAGACACCAGAAATTATTTGTAAAGCTAGGAAATGGGTCAAAAGTGAATTTCGCGAGACAAAAGTGACGGCCATTTTGAAAATAGGCGAGCTTTTGAACCAGGAGTCATAGGGGGGTTTCTGTATTGATGTTGAACAGAAATAACTTAAAACAGTAGTCCTATCGACAGAGGTTTTAAAACGTGCCACTATTGTTGACGGACAGACAGATGGACGGACAGACAGACAGACGGACAAGTGAGTGATTGCAAAAGCTCACCATGTGAGCTAAAAACTTCAAATAAATGATCCATCATTCATAGATTTTATTACAGGAAAATCCAGAACTTACTTTTTGGTCCTCTGAGTTCTACCCTCTAATAATGAAGGAGTTGGGGTACTAGGACTTGAGCTGAATCCAGCACCAAATGTTAGATCTCTTGCCAGGTCACTAGCGTTAGCTTTAGTAAATTCAAAACTGGCCTTTAAACTTGATGTCCTTCTACCCTGCTGCATCTACAAATATTATGTTTCACTTATATCTAATCATCTTTTACTAACTCATTTCAAGTCTATGTATACAACTGGAACTTCAAATATCAAATACTTGAATCTAAATTCCCTGTTAGAGAATGTCCAAAACATTTAATTAAAACAATTTCAAGTAATCAGAACCTGATTTTGACTGTTGTCATTTCGTCAAGAAACGTCATAGCAACCAGGCAGATATTGCCAATTTAAATATATACATGCATACCTGTTGTGTTGCTGCTATTGCTTGTGAAGCTGCTGCTGCTATTGCTGCATTACTGCCTGCCCCTACATGACCTACAACACATTATACAAAATTTTATTTTGGCTATTAGGTTGAAACAGCTGCCTTTACACAGGCTGGTATCAAAAGATTTGTCCATTGCGATGGAGCATGTTATTTTTCATAAAAACACTAAGAAAACCACACAATTCGTGAAGTATTCTTAGTGTTTTTATGAAAAATAGCATGCTTCGTCACAGCGGATAAATCTTTCAATACCGGCCTGTGATTTATAGTGAATCTTTTTTAGAAACTCTAGACCACACTTATGATGTTATGCAAAATCTTGAACACAAAATTATGCACCATATTAAACTAGAAAACAGCAACCCCATGGAGTAGCAAATTCCATCTAACAAAACATGTTTTGACCTACACATTATACACATTAGGCCATTGGGTTAAAACTGCATTCATAGTGAACTTTTTTTGCAATTTTAGACCATCCTAATGAATAGGTATGATGTTATGCAAAAGCTTGAACACAAAAATATCATCATACTAAATAAATTGTTAAATCATGAAAGACCAAATGTGTATTGTGCAACCTAGCTAAGTTATATGATAGTAATCAAAAAATGAATATCTGCAGCCTTTAGGTATTCAAGAAAGTAAAATTAGATGTGTAACTTATACAAGTTGAGACAATGTCCACATAACCTATGTTATTATGGAATCACATGAGAAATATGTGCATATTGTAATAAACCTATGTAATGTGTACCTTAAGACATGTAAAATGTGTAACCTACCTATATTACAACCTAAGTGTACTTAAATCATTTAAGATCTGCAACCTACCTTATTACATGCATTAGGACATTTAAGATGTGCATCCTACCTAGGTTATATTTTATATGAAATCACAAGAGAAATACATGCATTGCAACCTACGTGTGCAAAAGAGAAGCTGCAACCTTTGTGTTCTAAGATGTGCAACCTACCTTATTACATGTACATGCATTAAGACATTAAAATATGCGACCTACCAAGGTTATATGTTATATGGGTTCACAAGAGAAATACATGCGTTACATGCATTGCAACCTAAGTATACCTAAGATGTGCAACCTACCTAGGTTATATGTTATGGCTGATGAGGAATTTGAGCTTGAGTTGAACATAGTACCAGATGGGGAGCTTGTATTCGAGTGACTCTTGTGGATACTACTTAAGGTTTCCCGTGCTGCATCGTGGGCAAGTGAGGTCAATACTTTCTCACTCTGAACACGTTTCATGTTGCTTTCGACATGGTTGTGGTTGGATAATACTGATGAATACTTCCTCTCTGAAAAACAAATGTATGAGTATGGGTATGAATTTGTAAACATGATTTGGTTTTGAGTTTTAAATGGTTTTAGGATATAAAACTGATTCCAAAACATAATATAAGTGTATTAAAAAATGTTCAGGGTTATGCCTTCGTCACATTTGCTACGATTTTCAGTTCTTGTTTCCAGCCAATATGTATTTTCTTCAATGCTTTCAGTTTTTAGCAAAATACTAATCGGCCAGGCGCCAGTATTGAAGATCGGAGTAGATGTGAAACCAGCATTAGAATGTTGTCAGAAAATTATGTTTGAATAACTTCAATCTGAATGTTTTATTGGTAAAATATATGCTGCGAATTACAAGAATAAATGACACCGAAAATCAGTATGCTGCATTATTTCTTTATATATTGGTTAATTACAATGTGAAGGTATTTAAATGGGTCTTACTTTCTGGTCTGTGATTATTCAGATCTTTAGGTGGCTTGTCTAGTTCTAGTGATCCTGAAAATAGGAAAGTAGTTTTAAGTGTTGTTCTAAGCAGTAAGAAAAGTTAAAGGCCCAATGCAAAGTTTGAAAATATGTTTTTATTATTTATTTACTTTTATTCTAGAGATTTTGAAGATAAATGTGTCAGCTTTTTATTTCTCAAATATTAAAAACAAAAATATTGATCAATGTGACTGATATGAGACATTATTAGTGGAACACTTCTCTATAAGTGCAACACCTCTCAAGTAGAACACTTTTTTTCACTTAGACATGTTTTACTGTATCAAGATTTGGGCTGGGATTTCAGCCTCTGACTCTGATTCTACATTTTAACTAAATTCACGACCTAAAAACTAAGTACATGTACAATATTCAGATGTATAAACAAAGCTAAAGCACTAAATAATCATATACTGTATTAAGGAAAATAGAAATTATTGTTTCAGGTCACATGGGGTGCAAATATTAGACCAGTCAGGTCCTTTTTAATGCTAATATTTATTTTTATTTTATTTTCAGCTTCAGTAAATAATTTCTCAGAAGCTTTTCTCAAATGCTTTATCTAGTAAATAATAGCTTTTAGGTTATTGGACGTATTTCCACATCACATAGAAATGGAAAAGGTACTGTACCTCTATACACCTTTACATAGATATATTTTCACAAATGTTCCACAATCATGTACAAAATGTACTGCCCTCTGATTAATATACTATGACTACGCATATTTTCTGAATACATATACAGTGAAGCCTGTATATTCAAAAGCCTGTATATTCAAACACCTCTCTAATCTGAACACCTCTCAATGTGAACACTTTTTCTCAGTCCTCAATATTGACTCAGATATCTTAGAAACCTTTAAATATGAACACCTGGTAATCTGATTACTATTGGACAGTCCTGTTGGCGTTCAGATTAGACAGATTTTACTGTGGTGCAACATGCAAATTGAATTATAAGAATTACAAGGGGAGTTACATATACCAATGAGGCAAGTGACAATAAATACAAGTGAAAGAAACAAATATTTAAAAACAAAGGGCTTACGTTTTTCTAACATTTCTGTAATACCAGCATTATCTGCCTCTAATTCTAATTTAAACTTTCCTACTTCCATGTCTAGTTTTCTCAGGTATTTTTCCAGCTAGAAGAAAATGTTAAATACATGCATCTATATAGGCTAGATGATACATATGAAGTTTGTTGAATCAAAAATCCAAGAAATGACTGAATGAAAATATCAGATTTTCCTGTAAAAAGGCTGGTTCTTTTGTTGTAGAGGACATTTTCATTTTTCAATTTGATTTCAAAAGTCTGTGGCCTTTTTACAAGAAATTCTGTAAGGATATTTTCAAAATCATATATAGTTTAAAACTATATGTTGATGTAGACTATATCAAACAAGTAATAAATATTGGCTGAAACATGAGGGTATAGCTTTGGTTTCACTCTGGTGTTATACACGAGATGGGATCTTTCAGTTGATCGGGGATTGATCGAGGAGAACCATGTACCCAGATGTTGCAACTTAAACACAAACAGTTAACAAAATACAACATGCATAGCAACAAAACAGAACAATGATGATGAATGAGCTATGTAACTATAACGATGAGAGATAACAGCTTACGCTTTTCTAATAATTCTGTTATTCCTGAATTGTCTGCCTCTAACTCCATTTTAAACTTTTGGAGTTCTTGGTCTAATTTTCGCACATGTTTTTCGACCTGTAATTTGTCAACTCTGATAAATAGTTATGTGGGATATATTGAAAATATGAATGTTGTATTTTATTGTGTTTTATTGTGAATGCCAAATTTTAACCAGAACAACAACGCTAAAGAGTAGCAAATCCCATCGAACAGCCATGGCTGGCATTTTTACAAACAAAGTATATAGCAAAAAGGACAGCCATTTTTCAAAATTCGACAGTGTGCCATGCTTATAGTATTCACATACCAAATATGAACAAAATCGCTCCCCTACTTTTCGAGTTATAGTAAAAAACGTTAAAATGGCGGCCAATTTTTCAAAATGGCCACCTTCTACCAAAAGTGTCATTGGACAGTGTGCCATGATTATAGTATTCACATAACAAATATGAACAAAATTGCTCTACTACTTTTCGAGTTATAGTAAAATATGTTAAAATGGCCGCAATTTTTCAAAATGTCCACCATTTTTCAAAATGGCCGCCTTCTACGAAAAGTGTCATTAGACAGTGTGCCATGCTTATAGTATTCACATACCAAATATGAACAAAATCGCTCCACTACTTTTCGAGTTATAGCAAAAATCGTAAAATAACGAGTAAAGGCTGCCATTTTTCAAGATGGCCGCCATGTGCTTCTTTAATATCTACATTTCTAGCTTTATTAATGTCCTACATAATTTTTTTTACATTTAAAACATATTGCTATTACAGTTTTACATATTGCACCTAAATTACTGTAAAATCGGCACTAAAATGGCCGCCATTTTTAAATGAGTGGCCATTTTGAAAATCATCTTTCGAGCAGAACTTCTACCCCCATAGGGTATAAGTGTACAAAATATGAACAAAATCGGGCCAACGGTATTTGAGTTATTGCCCGGACGGACGGACAGACTAACGGACGGAGGCGTTCCCTATATCCCTCCAAACTTCGTTCGATGGGATAACAAATAATCTCAAATCAGTATTGTAGAATAACTACTAGCAATAAAAATACCATTTCTACATCATACTAGCCAAATTGGCAAGGATGGTTGAAGTTCATTTTTTCAAGCCAAGCTTCAGTTAAAAAGTGAGAATTTGACAGTTTACTCTGTATTTGCCATTCTGGAAAGCAAATTTTGATCAATCCCAAAACCAATTTTACACTCGCAATCAGTTAGTGGCAAATGGTTGTATTTTCACATTGCTATGGACATAGTAAACAAGCATTAACATGACAAAATGTCACCACCTAGTTGCTCATAATATTATTAGTTCAATCTTAAGTCAGATTTGAATTTCTAAGAACTTGTAGTTGATTTTGAAAAAGAAAATTGGTCAATTTGAAGCAAGATAGAAAATACCTTGAGAATGTCATTGAAGGTCAAATCTATAGTCAGATTTGAACATTTAAGAACTTATGTAGATGATTTTGAATAAAAAATTGCTCAATTTAAACAAGTTGAAAAAAGACCTTTTTGACATTTTTTGACCTTGAGAAGGTCATTGAAGGTCAAATCTCAAATCTAAAGTCAGATTTGAACTTCTGATAACTTGTAGATGATTTTGAATTTGGAGCAAGTCGAAAAAATACCTTTTTGACCTTGAGAAGGTCAAATCTTAAATATAAAGTCAGGTTTGAACTTCTGAAAACTTAGAAGTCAGTCTAAACAGTTAGTTAGTAATTGAAAGTTGTAAGAATTTGTTACAGACTCAGATCGCCAACCACCAACCGCCGTTAAAAAAACGGAGACCATAACAATATATCACCACTTTTTGGTGGTGACATAATAAAACTGTTTATGTTTCAAGACTGCATCATATTAAAGTCCATTTATTGAGGCCATCAAATCAATAGTAACTCTAGGTTTATAAAATACATTAATGAACTTGACACTTACCAATTCATATATTTGGTTCGCTAACTGCACTTTTTCATCTGCATCTTCTAATGCTTTGTTGTATTCCTAAAATTAAACAAAAAGAATTTGATCATGTATATTGTCATGACGTCATTTATCTTTAAAAATCTCAAGTTTAGTTGGAAATTAAAACACTGATTTCAACATTTTGTAAAGAAAATATATATCAGTCATACCATGGGCTTTCATACCTCTGTTAGTGGAACAAGACCAACTGACTTAATGTTAAATGAACCTCTATAAATGGAACACCTCCCAAGTAGAACAATTTTAAGAGGTACCCAAGGTGTTCTACTTAGACAGGTTTTATTGTATTTTATTGTATGAAATGAAGTTTTAAGTAATGTACCTCTTTCAGTTTTTTAAACTGCTCATCCCTAACATCTGATTTGACAGTTTTGTCAACATGGCACTTTTTGAAGAACTGTTTTACTCTATCATCAAGGCTGTCCATTGCATCTACAAAAATATGGTATGTTTTATCATAAAGGTCCAAGGTTTTATTAGCAGCATGATAAAATTACCGGAACTTACTAGATAACGCCAATGTTTAGGATGTAAAGTTATGTTGCCAAAAGAAAACAAGGCATTAACATGACAAAATGTCACCACCTAGTTGCTCACAATATCATGAGTTCAAACTTAAGTCAGATTTGAATTTCTGAGAACTTGTAAAGTCAAATTTGAACTTCTGAAAAGATGTAGATGATTTTGAAAAAAAATTGGGTCAATTTGAAGCAAGTTGAAAACAGACCTTTTTGACCTTTTTTGACCTTGAGAAGGTCATTAAAGGTCAAATGTCAAATCTAAAGTCAGATTTGAATTTCTGAGAACATGTAGATGATTTTGAAAAAAAAATTAGTCAATTTGAAGCAAGTTGAAAAAAGACCTGTTTGACCTTTTTTGACCTTGAGAAGGTCATTGAAGGTCAAATGTCAAACCTAAAGTCAAATCAAAAGTCATATTTGAATTTCTGAGAACATGTAGATGATTTTGAAAAAAAATTTAGTCAATTTGAAGCAAGATGAAAAAATACCTTTTTGACCTTTTTTGACATTGAGAAGGTCATTGAAGGTCAAATGTCAAATCTAAAATCAGATTTGAATTTCTGAGAACATGTAGATGATTTTGAAAAAAAATTTAGTCAATTTGAAGCAAGATGAAAAAATACCTTTTTGACCTTTTTTGACATTGAGAAGGTCATTGAAGGTCAAATGTCAAATCTAAAATCAGATTTGAATTTCTGAGAACATGTAGATGATTTTGAAAAAAAATTTAGTCAATTTGAAGCAAGTTGAAAAAAGACCTTTTTGACCTTTTTTGACCTTGAGAAGGTCATTGAAGGTCAAATGTCAAATCTAAAGTCAGATTTGAATTTCTGAGAACACGTAGATGATTTGGAAAAAATTCTTTATTCAATTTGAAGCAAGTTGAAAACGGACCTTTTTGACCTTTTTTGACCTTGAGAAGGTCATTAAAGGTCAAATGTCAAATCTAAAGTCAGATTTGAATTTCTGAGAACATGAAGATGATTTTGAAAAAAAAATTAGTCAATTTGAAGCAAGTTGAAAAAAGACCTTTTTGACCTTTTTTGACCTTGAGAAGGTCATTGAAGGTCAAATGTCAAATCTAAAGTCATATTTGAATTTCTGAAAACATGTAGATGATTTAGAAAAAAATTTAGTCAATTTGAAGCAAGATGAGAAAATACCTTTTTGACCTTTTTTGACATTGAGAAGGTCATTGAAGGTCAAATGTCAAATCTAAAGTCAGATTTGAATTTCTGAGAACATGTAGATGATTTTGAAAAAAAAATAGTCAATTTGAAGCAAGTTGAAAAAAGACCTTTTTGACCTTTTTTGACTTTAAGAAGGTCATTGAAGGTAAAATGTCAAATCTTAAGTCAAATCTAAAGTCAGATTTGAATTTCTGAGAACACGTAGATGATTTTGAAAAAAAATTTAGTCAATTTGAAGCAAGTTGAAAACATACCTTTTTGACCTTTCTTGACCTTGAGAAGGTCATTGAAGGTCAAATGTCAAATCTAAAGTCAGATTTGAATTTCTGAGAACACATAGATGATTTTAAAAAAAAAATTTAGTCAATTTGAAGCAAGTTGAAAACAGACCTTTTTGACCTTTTTTGACCTTGAGAAGGTCATTGAAGGTCAAATGTCAAATCTAAAGTCAGATTTGAATTTCTGAGAACATGTAGATGATTTTGAAAAAAAATTTTAGTCAATTTGAAGCAAGTTGAAAAAAGACCTTTTTGACCTTTTTTGACTTTGACTTTGAGAAGGTCATTGAAGGTCAAATGTCAAATCTAAAGTCAGATTTGAATTTCTTAGAACACGTAGATGATTTTGAAAATTTTTTTTAGTCAATTTGAAGCAAGTTGAAAACAGACCTTTTTGACCTTTTTTGACCTTGAGAAGGTCATTGAAGGTCAAATGTCAAATCTTAAGTCAGATTTGAATTTCTGAGAACACGTAGATGATTTTGAAAAAAAAATTTAGTCAATTTGAAGCAAGTTGAAAACAGACCTTTTTGACCTTTTTTGACCTTGAGAAGGTCATTGAAGGTCAAATGTCAAATCTAAAGTCAGATTTGAAGGTCAAATGTCAAATCTAAAGTCAAATTTGAATTTCTGAGAACATGTAGATGATTTTGAAAAAAAATTTAGTCAATGTGAAGCAAGTTGAAAAAAGACCTTTTTGACCTTGAGAAGGTCATTGAAGGTCAAATGTCAAATCTAAAGTCAGATTTGAACTTCTGAGAACATGTAGATGATTTAGAAAAAAATTGAAGTCAGTCTAAACAGTATTTGTTAAGTTATAGGAAGTTGTAAGGAATTGTTACAGACGCCGGACGCCAACCGCCGGACGCCAACCACCAACCGCCGGACGCCGTCGCAAAAAAACGGAGACCATAACAATATGTCACCACTTTTGGTGGTGACATAAAAATATAAGATTATTCTATGGTTTTGAAAAATAGCATTTATATCCATGAGTGGATATTGATATCTTCACAAGCGAACACAAGCACATCTTGTAAAACAAACCATATCAAATTGTTTGACAAAGAAGAGATGTTGCCATCCACATTTCAAATATTCCGTCAACTTGAATGTTGCTCATCTTTTTAGACTGAAATACTAGAATAGTACTCAATTTGGCAGACTTCCACTATACATAGATTTGAAGATTAAAAGCTTAGCCACCATGGTTCATGTCTATTGAAATAATTATGTCTTCTGTATATAGATGAATGCACATGGGATGCAGTCTCTGCCTTCACCATAATTTCAACAACTGGGGATAAACTGTAAATAATACCATGAAACCTCAGAAAGTCCATGATGGATATAGTCCTGAGTAAGGACACTAGCGGTTACCGTTAGTGGTTTGGTTTTCTGTATAAAAAGTCATTTTTCTCCTTTCCTACCCCATTAGAGCGCCATTTGGCGTTTGGGAAGTGAATTGGGACTAAATATTTATAAGGTAGGTCCTGATTTATCTGAAAACATGCCAAAGTTCAGTGGGAAATCTCATTTTAAGCTGGCGGCGGAGTGATTTTGACCTTGGTGATTTTACCAGAATTCTCTGAGAAATCTGACGATAGAGGGGGTTAGTGTCTTCAAGTTTATTTATCTCAAAAATTCGGTGGACAACCCATGGTAAGATTGTTATAGCAGTCTAGGCGAGTCTCTCCCGAACACTGTGGTATGTTGCACTAGGCTTGGATACTAATCGTTAATAAGATACAGGGTAAAATGTTATAATGGCCACCTATGGGAAACTCTACTGTGGTCTTCAACCTATTAGAAGGCGCATTCTTGGGGTATTTTGTAGGTTTTGTCCCCTTTTGAGGTGTTTAAGTTCATTAAGAAGCCTAATAGCGCATATCATATTAAAGGACTGTATCTTAGCTGAACAATGGTACCAAAATCGTGACATTTTGAAGCAACTTTAGTGTTTTGGGGGCGAGGCCATTGTGCCAAGTACCCCGAATTCCATTCTCCCGTGCCATTCAATTGTCTTCTGGGCAGTTTTGAATGAACCTTTGTTTCTCCCTAACGTTATGACGTCATAATATGCAATTGAACGCCTTGACATGGATATCACTCGAAAGATATTAGAAATCGCTTTCCAATGATACCCCGTATAGCCATGTTCCCCTCAGTTGGGTGTACTCAATCTGTGATGCAAACTGTAAGGTGCACCCCTACCCCAAAGAAATTTCAAGAAATCTCAAAATCAAATTTCCTGAATTTTGCTAAAAGGACCTGTGTCTATAAGGATTGAATCTTCCCCCGTGCATTTTCTCAAATATAGCATTGTTATATACCATTGTGATCGGGATAATGCCTACAATGCTAATATAACCATGTTGAAAGAAAACAAACTAATTTAGTTTACTATTAGGATATAGTCCTGAGTAAGGACACTAGCGGTTACCGTTAGTGGTTTGGTTTTCTGTATAAAAAGTCATTTTTCTCCTTTCCTACCCCATTAGAGCGCCATTTGGCGTTTGGGAAGTGAATTGGGACTAAATATTTATAAGGTAGGTCCTGATTTATCTGAAAACATGCCAAAGTTCAGTGGGAAATCTCATTTTAAGCTGGCGGCGGAGTGATTTTGACCTTGGTGATTTTACCAGAATTCTCTGAGAAATCTGACGATAGAGGGGGTTAGTGTCTTCAAGTTTATTTATCTCAAAAATTCGGTGGACAACCCATGGTAAGATTGTTATAGCAGTCTAGGCGAGTCTCTCCCGAACACTGTGGTATGTTGCACTAGGCTTGGATACTAATCGTTAATAAGATACAGGGTAAAATGTTATAATGGCCACCTATGGGAAACTCTACTGTGGTCTTCAACCGATAAATCTTATCCAAAAACGAAAGTGAAACTGAAAATATCAGATGAGCAGTGGCGACATCATGCGGTCATTTGTCAAACCTGGCATTAAACATTCAAAACACTTATTACTCCATGAAAACACATGCAATGTGGATCAAATTTTGCCACTTTATACAAAATATAATTTTGCATATGACAATGGAAAGAAAAATTGTAAACAACTTACTCTGCACCTGCAAATCCATCTCCCTCATCTCAGTAAATCGATCTCGCATCTCCATTGGGAGATTTTCTATCACTGAAAATACGAAGCAAAATTAGCCATTTCGACCTTAACGGCATCTTCAAAAGTGATACTCATTGAAGGAATATATCATAAATAATGTTTTTAGAATCTATTTTTCATACTTACTCTCCAAATAGTCCTCTAAATACAACATTTTGGTTCCTTATTTTTTCGGGGGGCAAAATGTACTTCAGCATATGTGATTTTGATTATGTAGTAGGGGTTTTCTGATTGGCTGAAAATAAATAAGCAATTTAAGGTAAAATGCTTCATTTCTGATCTTTTGGAGTCGTTCTAAATCATTTCAGCATATATATTCGATACACATAATATATTTGTTATAAATGAAACAACTAAAGTAAACATAAAAGCCCGTGGCTTTCATTTTTTCCTGAATATGTCTAAAACTACTGATTTCAGTCAGCCAATCAAATTTTACTTAACATCTTATTTGGTATTTTTAAATTTCAATTAGTGTCCTCCATCTTTAATTTTCATGATTTTTTAAATGACAACTGCGCAAGAACAACACTCGTAAACACATAAAATAAGATTCACAACGGGTTTTAGCATTCTTTAGTATATGAAAAATTGAAACAATGAATACGAAATCTTGAGATTTAGCTAAAATATGAGATTATCATTTTGGCAAGTACTCAAATTTGATTGGTTGGCTTCAGATATCTAAGACTTCCGGTTTAGGCAGATTGAAAGTTTATTTGTGAAAATGAGTTTATTTCTTAAAAATGCACTGTCTTATGGGGTTAATAAATATCTTAAACAGTTGCCTGTAATAGCGTTTACACCTCAAAAAAGATATGCAAGTTCGGGAGTGAGTATCCTGTTTTATTTTCTTTGAAAATCCAAATAATATTTTCAAAAATAAAAATTGTGAAAGTGAAAGTGAAACTTAAAGAGCCATCAAGACACTTTATTGTTATGATGAGATGATAGCTCTTTTTCATGCAGTTAGGCTATAATAAATTGAGCAATTTATGTTTAATTGAAAGGTAATTTACTTGCCATACATAGCAAACATGTAAAGTAGATTTCATGGCCTGACTTCGTCGGTAGAACTTGAAAAATAAGATTTACCTGAAGATTAGGAGTCTACCCCACCCTTCCCCATCCTAACTTTTGTGTATTTCAGAAGGTTATGTATGTTAAAGCTAATAGGCTTTTGTAATTTAGAGAATTTCAACCATGTTAATTTTGATAACAATTTTAGTAACATGGCAGAAATATATTCAAAGAATAGAGGCTACACATATGAGTATGACATGGTCACAAACTTCAAAAGAAACCAAAACATGTACATGTACAATATAGATATGTTTTTATTTTTCCATATAGATCTAATATTGCAATATTGTCCCTCAATCGCTTATTTTTTAGATTTAAAGTTGTCAAGAAGTCTTAAGATTAAAATTTCTTTTGCAGGCTTTATCATGGGCTTTCAACAACAAATTGTACATACATGTAACATGTACCTGTATATAACTATTTCTATCAGATCACTGTCATTGTCAGTGTCTTTATTTTTAGTCCAATGACTTGAAGAAAACAGTTTTATATGACCTGCATGTGGAGCTTGGTGGCAAGATGGTAGATTTTGCTGGTTGGCTGATGCCTGTTCAGTACAAGAACATGGGCATAGGACCTTCAACTAACCACACAAGAACGCAATGCAGCCTTTTTGATGTGTCACATATGCTACAAACAAAAATACATGGTAAAGATAGAGTGAAATTCATGGAAAGTCTAACAGTTGCTGATGTTGCTGGGTTAGCTGAGAATAGTGGGACTCTTTCTGTGTTCACCAATGACAACGGTGGAATAGAAGATGACTTGATCATCAACAACATTGCTGATCATTTATATGTTGTCTCAAATGCTGGTTGCTCTGATAAAGATCTGGCAAATATGCAGGTAAGAAAAACTTATAAGTGTGTTTAAAGAAAAAACTGCAAACAGCAAATAAGCAGTAAAACTAGCTATATTAAATACATACTGTAGTAATATATGATATTATGCATAAGTATAGTACTACATTCTGAGCCTTTGTAAGATTTCACCATTATAATTTTTATTAAGTTGTTTTGATTTGTAAATTGAGTTGACATTTTACAGCCTGGATAAGGAATACTGTGATTGTATCGTGTTGACTTGTATTTTGTTATTACATGAATATGCATACAAAATGAACATTGTTGCAGGCTCAAGAAAGCAAGTTTAAATCTCAAGGCTTGGATGTCTCAGTAGAAGTTCTCCGTTATGGATTAATAGCACTTCAAGGTAAATTGCTTTCAAGTTGGGACTCTAAATCTAGATTTTCACATAAGAAATATCATGAGAGTGAATAATCATATGTTCGGCAGTACTCATATTCTATCAAATGTTCATCTATCAAAGACATGTTTAGGATAAAAAGCCTCTCAAGGCCAGCCTATATTGGCGGAATGCAGGCATATTTCACTTCATAGTGAGTTGACATATTTTATATTTTCATGCACTCATATTTCACACTTCAGGTCCAGCTATGCAGAAACTTCTTCAAACAGGTGTTAACTTCAACTTGACTGATCTGCCCTTTATGACTACAACTGAAGCATCAGTGTTTGGTATTCCTGGCTGCAGAGTCAGTAGATGTGGCTACACAGGGGAGGATGGTGTCGAGGTGAGAATTAAAGAGGCATTGTCAAGAGGCTGAAATTTCCCAGAATTCATAGATGAATCTAGGTTGAATTACCCAGAATTCAAAGATGAACCCATCTTTATGTAAAGATGAGCCCAGGTTTGAATTCTGAATCTTTGAATTTTGGGTTATTTTTTCCTCCTTTCATTTATTATCAACCAAGCACCATATAGAAAATCTAATATTGGAACTTCATAGAATGAGGTTGTAAGAACTAAGTTTTCAAAAAATTATCTAATAAAAATCTAGAATTCTTTAAAGACTATGTATCTTTCTTCCAACATCATGTGTTCTCAGTAGAAACCATATTTTATTCTATTGTTGAAAATAGCTACAGATCGAGTGTTTTTTCAAAATCATCTACAAGTTCTCAGAAGTTCAGATCTGACTTTAGATTTGAGATTTCACCTTCAATGACCTTCTCAAGGTCAAAAAAGGTCAAAAAGGTATTTTTTCAACTTGCTCCAAATTGACCATTTTTTTTTCAAAATCATCTGCAAGTTCTCAAAAGTTCAAATCTGACTAGAGATTTGAGATTTGACCTTCTTGAATGACCTTCTCAAGGTAAAAGAAATTGACCTTCAATGGCCTTCTCAAGGTCAAAAAGCAATCAACTTGTTTCACATTGACCAAATTCTTTTTCCAAAATCATCTACAAGTATTCAGAAGTTCAAACCTGACTGTAGATTTAAAGTACTAGTATCGCCCTAAAATCGTCAAAAATGTTCCAAATTCATGATATCAAACGATTCCTTATGATCCAAAGACAAAATACAACCTGTTTATGTCCGCCAATCTCACCTTCTCAGGGTCAAAAAGGTATTTTTTCAACTCATTTAAAATTGACCAATTTTTTCAAAACTACCTACAAGTTCTGAGAAATTCAAATCTGACTTGAGAATTGAGAATGAACTAATAATATTGTGAGCAACTAGGTGGTGACAATATGTCATGTTAATGTCTTGTTGGTTTATGTAAAGATATTCATTATTTCAAACATTTTTTTATGTTCAGATATCAGTACCATCAGAATATACAGAGGACCTGGCCAGAAAACTGCTTCAACTTGATGGCTGTGAGGGTGCAGGATTGGGTATGTTGAAAGAAGATATTCAAATATTTTAATCAAAGTGGCAACCTTGTTTGATTTGCCTTGGACTCGAAGGAAAATTTCTTTACATGTAGCATACACTTTGTACATAATTTGACAAAAACATCTGAGATATACGTAATATCTAATCTTTGAAGTCGTATGCATTGTATTTTATGCATCATGTTGCAATGGACATTTATAAAATTACCAACTTTGACTGTGTCGAAGTATAGTACATTGCAGTATGACAAAGTTATGGTGTACATGTATGTCAAAATGTACGAGTACAAAGATTTTTTTACCAATGTGAAACATTCTTTTTATCAACCTGCTCATCTTTAATGGGAAAATGTTCAGTCCTTTACACTATTACCAGAGACTAACATAAAACATTTTTACTGTCATGATTTTGACCAAAACTTGTTTTATCTTTTAGATTTTTAGTGTTTGTATTTTCTTATTTGTTTAGGGGCCAGAGATGCACTTCGACTTGAGGCAGGATTATGTCTCTATGGCAATGACATAGATGAGTCTACAACACCCGTTGAAGCAATGCTCACATGGACTATAGGTAGGCCATTGCATGACCTGCTACTGAGTATCTAATGGATTAAATATTACCACAAACTTGTTCACATTTTTTCTACTTTTTTTGTTTCAAGGAAAAATATGTTTAAGCAATTACAATACAGTAACATGATAAAGTAACAATATTGTTTTGGTTTACAGAATTATTATGAGGGAAATGTATTGTTTGGCATTTTAAAAAGGAAACCCTAAGTACTGTTAGTCTAATTTAAATTCCACAATTTTTCTACTTGGTATTCCTATATATATTGTTGAATTTCAGTCGTTACTTAACATTTAGAAAGTTTAGGAAAAGTCAAAAGATAATATTTGAAGATCCAATTGAATATAAGACTCCATAAGACATATGAATTGCAACATATAAAAATATGAGGCAATAATCAATGTTGTAGGAAAAAGGCGCAAGGAAGAAGGAGGATTCCCAGGTGCAGATGTAATACTTGCTCAACTAAAGGATGCTAAATCTGTGACTAGGAAGAGAAGAGGTTTCATCAGTTCTGGCCCACCAGCAAGAGGTACTACACTGTATTCTTCTTGGCCTTCAGGCATCTCTCCCTCTTATAAAATAACCTATATTCTATGTGTTATGTTACCTTAAAGAATCGAATAGAAGACGAGATTGATTTGCAGATGGAAAAATATTATACAAATAGTGACTGCCATTGAGGGCAATAGTGTAAATTATTTCCCCGAGGGAATATCCTCTACAATGTACTATTCCCGAAGCTGTTTTTCGTCTGCGCAGTGATGATGCGCAGACGTTTCCAAGGGTAATAGAAGTTGCAATCGTGACGTCAGCGGGCAATAGTTCAAATGTATATTCCCACTGACGTCACATTTGAGGGAATATAACTTTCCGAGGGAAATAGTAAATCTATTTCGGAACACGTGACTAGGTATTGACCAATCAGGATTAGTGTTACATATTGGGTATATAATAATATTCATTATATGTTTGTTTGATTTTTGACTGTTTGTTTGTTTGTTTCTCATTGAAGTCATGCATTCCAATTTATTGAGATGCCTGAATTATTGTGCATTGCAATAGACAGACAGGCCATTCATGATTATTCTTCACATTTCTCAACTTCCTACCAAAATGGGCATTTTAGACCAATATTGCTAAATATTTATTTCATGAAAGATTCTTTGATTTAAACCTATCCATTTAGAGCCACATCATTTGGAAATGAGTCGCAAAAATTTTTGTTGACAAACTTTGACGGCAACAACTTCATGATTTTTCTTATAAGCTTCAAATATGCTAGCTTTGATTTGTGCCCACCCTGTCTATAAGGATGATTTTATTGCCTACACTATATGTGTTCCTGGGGATTATATACACATATTGTACATCTGTTTCAGGGGGAACCAAGATATATGATGCATCAGGCGAGAAGGAGATTGGGGTCCTCACCAGTGGTGTTCCCTCGCCAACTCTTAAACAGAACGTTAGCATGGGTTATATATCCTCTACAGCAGCTAAGTTTGGCACTGACGTTAAATTTGGAATAAGAAATAAACTCTACGACGCTAAGGTTACTAAAATGCCATTTGTACCCACAAACTATTACATTCCCAAAAAGTGAGTATTTTAACAATGCACACTCAGCAATAATAGTGGTACAACGATAATGGTAATACAACGATAAATACATGCATGGTAATGGAATATACAGTAGAGAGGTAAGTTAACCATGTGAGATTATACCCATGATAGGAATGTACTTGCATAAATTAAACGATATTAAAATGATCAGATGCTCATGTATAATGGAAACGAAACTTATATGAGGGAAATGGTGCCAAATATTTGAACAGATTATATATTCTGTACAGTATTAATATATATACCAGGACTGTATAGCCAGCTTTTGACAACTTTGGCCAAAAATCACTTGAAAAGGGTTGAGAATGGTGAAAAAACCCTGAACCCCCCTCAGCTATGGGCATGCGTACTATACTTAAATGTAATGTGAAATATGAATGTTGCCATGATAACAGACATAGTGTAGACCATAGTAAGACTTAGAGTAGACCATATAAATAAGTGACATAGAGTAGACCATAGTAAAGTGACATGGATTAGACCATAACAAGAGACATGAGTAAATCATAATTAGATAGAATTGACCATAATAAAGGACAACGAGTACACAAACATAATTACCTTATTATCTTTTCTCTCAGGTGACCAAGTTAATGAAATGAGTATTTTATGTGATTATGGTGTGAAAGGATCTAATTTACGGACACTGCACTCTCATCTTGTGAAAGATAAATCTAATTATATATACAGCTGTGTTTATCTGCATCATATTAGAATGTACTTTTCTTTAAAAAATTGTAATTCTCATTGGTTTATGATTCTTTGAACAGTACGTTCTTTGATTTCAGAAATATTCATTTTAGACATCGCATTGAACGAGGACATATATGAACCAGTGTATTAAAAATATTATCCTCAAATTTAAGAGGATACTTACACTAATCCTATTGTGGAATACATGCACAGTGCATCATAACTTAAAGTAAAATTGTAAATGAACGCTTTCAGATTAGTTTTCAGAATGATTGTCATATCAGGACATATAAAGTCATGATAGAAATGTTAATGGTTTTCTGACATTTTGGGATCAGTGATGGTCATATTATCATACCAACTTTGTTGATTGTTGAACTGTTGATTTTGCTTGCTATTGGCTGTAAATAATATTAATTATTATAGAATTGTAATTAAAAGGGTTGCCATAATGTACTATATGTATTTACCCAGTATATTTTTTCTTACTAATATTGTTGGTTTGTTGAATTATAAAATTTATTTTATTAAAATATTTACGAAATAAACAAAATGATTTTCAATATGCAATATCTTAAAAATGTATAATTTATTTTTATATTATAACATAAGACATACAAAGTAATATGTAAGACATGGAATGGTTAAATCATGAAGAGATCATATACATCAGACAGACATTGTAGACTCAGTGTTATTTTACATGTAATATTATTCCATGATTAATGTGATATCTGTATAATAACAACCAGTGATACGTCTGATATTATGGAGATCCAGGTGATGTTATTTAAAAAATCATTTATCTGTCAAGCTACATATTTGGCTGATATCATTTATCAGCTGCATATCTGTGTGATAAACAAATTTGAATTTTTCTTAAAAATCAAGGGATAAACCCAATATCAGATAATTTCTCATCAGATCAGATCAGATCATTTAATAGCCTCGTAGGTACCAAATACTCAACACGTATTCGCTTCTCTCACTCATGTTGATATTTAATATCAACTTGTCAATTAAAAAGATATCACTCAAAATGATCTGATATTGCCTATATATTAACCTGTTAATGTTGATCATTTACATTTACATGGATGATATAATTTTCTTTGTTTATTACCTAGTCACTAGGTTGTCCAGATATCATATATCTATTCATGGATAAATCACATCACTCATAAATCGTCAGGAAAGCGTCTATTTATTACTAGATGTTGTGTATTCTGGCAGTATATACAAAAAGTTTGCCAAATGTAAGAGCTTCCTGGTCAACTCAACCCCAAGTCAACTCAACCCAAGTCAACTCAACCCATAGTCAAGTCGACCCCAAGTCAAGTCGACCCTTAGTCAAGTCGACCCCAAGTCATCTCGACCCTTAGTCAACTCGACCCCAAGTCATCTCAACCCTTGGTCAACTCAACCCTTAGTCAAGTCGACCCCAATGATTTTACTTGTTTTAAGTAGATTAAAATACAATATAATATATCATTAAATAGTACTTCGTTGAATATTTTGATAGTATATGATTTATTAAAGGAATAATAGAAAATTATGGCAAAGATAAACTTTCCTATTTGAATCCAATTTGATTAATGCAATTTCTTTCCTAATTCAAAAATAGATATTGCATTGAGAAAATAAATCTGACATATGATTAAGATAATGAGAAACAGAAATCCCATTGTTTGTACAGTCTTGTTTTAAAATCTGACTTCAAAAAATAAACATTTCCGTCACCTATAGATCATAAGGAAGATTTGAACTGGATCATAAAATCCCAATCTGATTGTTTATGACACCTGACATATGAGTAAGATAATGGAAAATAGAAAAACATACATGTAAATCCCATTGTTTGTTCAGTCTTGTTTTAAGATCTAACTTCAAAAAATAAACATTTCAATCGCCTAAAGATCAGAAGGAAGATTTGAACTATATCATATTGTTTATTGTTTATTATTATTATCAAAATATAAAATCATTCAATACAAAGTAATGGATGGATGTTGGCACAATGCACATTTTGCAAAAGTTACCTGTTGTCAAAAAATACTGTTGCAACAATTTCGGTATAACAGAAAAGTGTATAGAAAAATTCTATTTACAATTATAATTTTTTATTTCAGAGAGATAAAACAAGCTCAAATATGAAAGGGTGAAATATATGTATAGCATCGTGAATAGCCCTCTTAAGATTTATGAAATATTATTTTGGTAAATAAATGTCATATTTATAAAAATTATAACTAGTTGATAATTTTGTTTTGGAAAATTAGCATTTTAATCCCTCATTCTTTCAAAATTCATTTCAATATCATACCATGAAAGGTACATCTATTTGTTTTTATGATGGGGTCGAGTTGACTAAGGGTTGAGATGACCAAGGGTTGAGATGACTTGGGGTCGAATTGACTAAGGGTCGAGATGACTTGGGGTCGACTTGACTAAGGGTCGACTTGACTTAGGGTCGACTTGACTAAGGGTTGAGTTGACTTGGGTTGAGTTGACTTGGGGTTGAGTTGACCAGTTACCATGTAAGAGATACATCTATTGGTTTATTAACTGAATTTAAAATTAAAAAATTAACATCAAAATATTTTACACTTTTTGAATTACACATACTGAAAACTGAAAGATGGCTCTGTGATATAATGATCAGGTTTTGTTATAACTCCAGTTAGATATATTGGAGAGGTAATCATATATAGTTCTCATGATATCTCTAATTTTTTATTTTTTGATATGTTTTGATGATATATTCACAGAATGTACAATAAATAATGACTTAACTTGTCAATCCAACTAAAATATTTAGATCTTACAGAAATACATAATGGTTGCCATAGTGACAAAGATTACACCTCGTATGTTTCAGTCAGAATATCGGAAACCTTCCATTTCCATTGTATTACTGAATGTATGCAACTGCCTAATACAAATTACAATATATTTACACTTTATTTAAATAAAAATAGTAAGAATATATAAGATTAATATGCCCAGATGTTCCAAAGAAGAAACTCTACGAAAAGTTAAAATACTACATTTCTTATATCAGAATAATACTCTCTTATATCTGTTTTGTAAATTATGATATAAAAAATACTATAGATTGTGCCATTCCCCCCTGGGTGGTACATTAGTAGTCACCAAATGTAACTTTAAACATGATAAATCCCTTTACCAATAAGTAGCGTTTCATGTTCTTATGGTATTATCTTTCAAATTATCCCAAGGCTTCGCTAAAGCAATGCTTTGATGAAGGGAGATAAATCAATCATGTCCTATGTAAAATTGTTATTGTGATAAGTACAAGAATTCCTACATATTACATGTATTATAATTGTTTAACATGTAAAAATATTGTAACGGTTTCTCAGTTTGTTGAATGAATTATTTAAATATGTGTGAACATCAATGCACGCTGATACACATTATTTATAAAAAATGTCATATTTATCCCCACCCAAAGCATTACAATATTAAAACCAGCAATTAACAGATTGCGTGAAATTATGATGGCTTCATAAAAATACTTTAATCATCATACTCTCTCATTAATTAATTAGGTTTCTATGTGTTATTGATAGGGCCTGTCTCCTATTTCATTCATCATGGTCTAATATACATACCATTGGAAACAGCTCTTCCTGTAACATAGCACAGTATTTGATAAACTTCATTGCTTTCCCTTTTTTAATTGCCTGAATTATTTCAAGTTTCATAGTACATTTAAAATAACATTCATTTTCTCTTATCTTCAGTAGATCCGTTTTGTGGTAGATGTCATTTCAGCATAATTTTAACAAAATATTCTGATTTTGAATCATGTTTTCTACTGCTATGTGTTAATATCCATAACAACATTTTGAAAAACATTACCCATTTGATTGATTCTTGTTGATTGAAATCATTAAAATTACATGGGAATACAATGCATTAAAATGTTTTCAAGGACAAATCCCCTGTTACAAAAATAAATAAAAAAGAAGTATGAGTGGCAAGTGTTCTATATATAGATCTTAATAGAATTGTACTTAGAGCATCATTGTCAATGTATTTACCTGGAGATAATCCATTGATCCTTGTAAGGCAGGGTAACCTGACATAAATGCTGCTCATTAAAATCATGGTACACTGTTTATTATTAGGTATTATACAACTTCTGTTGCTACCAGGTTTTCTGAATATGTGGAATATTGCGAAGCCCAAACCCTGGTCAATGTAGTAGTTTGTCCTTGTACTACTATGTATAAGTGAAGAGACTACCTTTATTTCTTGCAATAGATTGGTGTGTACCCCCAAAGCTGAAAGTTTGAATGAGTATCTCAGTCATCTATTTGCCATATGTTTGATTGTAACGCAGTCACTTTTTGATGCTGTACTACTCTTGCACTGACTTCTTCCAGCTACACTGAACTGTTCAATTATTTCTTTGTTGAAGTTATTTTGATAATGTATACACAACAATACTGCACTGTATTGTACTGTACTATACCGTACTGTATGTAGTGTACTGCACTGTATGTAGTGTACTGTATTGAACTGAACAGTTAGATTATTGTACATCCCCAGCAACATTGTTGAGGGTA